AGAGAGACCAGAGAGAGACCAGAGAGAAAGCAGAGAGAGACCAGAGAGAGACCAGAGAGAGACCAGAGAGAGACCAGAGAGAGACCAGAGAGAGACCAGAGAGAGACCAGAGAGAGAGACCAGAGAGAGACCAGAGAGAGAGAAGAGAGAGAGCAGAGAGAAAGAGCAGAGAGAGACCAGAGAGAGACCAGAGAGAAAGCAGAGAGAGAGAAGAGAGATACCAGAGAGAGACAAGAGAGAGACCAGAGAGAGACCAGAGAGAGACTAGAGAGAGACCAGAGAGAGACCAGAGAGAGACCAGAGAGAGAGCAAAGAGAGACCAGAGAGAGACCAGAGAGAAAGCAGAGAGAGACCAGAGAGAGACCAGAGAGAGACCAGAGAGAGACCAGAGAGAGACCAGAGAGAGAGCAAAGAGAGACCAGAGAGAGACCAGAGAGAAAGCAGAGAGAGAAGAAAAGAGAGAGACCAGAGAGAGAGCAGAGAGAGAGCAGAGAGAGAGAGAGCAGAGAGAGAGCAGAGAGAGACCAGAGCGAGACCAGAGAGACCAGAGAGAGACCAGAGCGAGACCAGAGAGACTAGAGAAAGGGAGACATTAGAGGGAGACAGAGAGCAGGGAGAGAGAGAGGCCTGAGAGACAAGAGAGAGAGAGGGACTAGATAAAGAGAGCACAGAGAGAGATCTCGGTGATACAACCCTACCCCATAAATTAGTTTTGATAATTTCACTGGTGAGTTTGCAGCCAGTAATTTCCAAACAAACTCCCTCCTCTGGTGCCGCAGTTCTGTGTGTCCCTCTATCTGTGTGGGTTTACCCCCTACCTGCTGTTGTGTACCGGTTGTGTACTGGTTGTGTACCGGTTGTGTACAGGTTGTGTACTGGTTGTGTACCGGTTGTGTACTGGTTGTGTACTGGTTGTGTACTGGTTGTGTACCGGTTGTGTACTGGTTGTGTACTGGTTGTGTACCGGTTGTGTACAGGTTGTGTACTGGTTGTGTACCTGTTGTGTACAGGTTGTGTTGAAGTGCGAGCAGGAGCTGAACGCTGAGCTCTTTCCGCCTCCGCAGCGACAGCACAAAGTGATTCATCTTATTTACAACCGCATTTCTCTGCGTTTTGTTACCGGAAAAACACAACACAAGCTTCATAACGAGCGCAGGATTCTGAGAAGGATTTGTGTTTGTGTTTCTGGTCTTAAATGATTCAGTGAACACAGACTGGAAATGACACAGACAAATACAGACAAACACAGACAAGTCTCTTTCTGGTCTCTCTGGTCTTTCTCTGGTGTCTCTCTCTGGTCTCTCTCTCGTCTCTCTCTCTGGTCTCTCTCTGCTCTCTCTGGTCGCTCTCTCTGGTCTCTCTCTGGTCTCTCTCTCTGGTCTCTCTCTCTGGTCTCTCTCTCTGCTCTCTCTCTCTGCTCTCTCTGGTCGCTCTCTCTGGTCTCTCTCTGGTCTCTCTCTCTGCTCTCTCTCTCTGCTCTCTCTCTCTGCTCTCTCTGGTCGCTCTCTCTGGTCTCTCTCTCTGGTCTCTCTCTCTGGTCTCTCTCTGGTCTCTCTCTCTGGTCTTTCTCTGGTCTTTCTCTGGTGTCTCTCTCTGGTCTCTCTCTCTGGTCTTTCTCTCTGGTCTTTCTCTGGTCTCTCTCTGGTCTCTCTCTGGTCTCTTTCTCTGGTCTTTCTCTGGTCTTTCTCTGGTCTCTCTCTGCTCTCTCTGGTCGCTCTCTCTGGTCTCTCTCTCTGGTCTCTCTCTGGTCTCTTTCTCTGGTCTTTCTCTGGTCTTTCTCTGGTCTCTCTCTCTGGTCGCTCTCTCTGGTCTCTCTCTGGTCTCTCTCTGGTTTCTCTCTCTCTGCTCTCTCTCTCTGCTCTCTCTCTCTGCTTTCTCTCTCTGGTCTCTCTCTCTGGTCTCTCTCTCTGGTCTTTCTCTGGTCTTTCTCTGCTCTCTCTCTCTGGTCTCTCTCTGGTCTCTCTCTGGTCTCTCTCTGGTTTCTCTCTCTCTGCTCTCTCTCTCTCTGGTCTTTCTCTCTGCTTTCTCTCTCTGGTCTCTCTCTGGTCTTTCTCTGCTCTCTCTCTCTGGTCTCTCTCTCTGGTCTCTCTCTGGTCTCTCTCTGGTCTCTCTCTCTGGTCTCACTCTGGTCTCTCTCTCTGGTCTCACTCTCTGGTCTCTCTCTGGTCTCTCTCTCTCTCGTCTCTCTCTGCTCTCTCTCTCTGGTCTCTCTCTGATCTCTCTCTGATCTCACTCTGGTCTCTCTCTGGTCTCTCCCTCTGGTCGCTCTCTGGTCTCGCTCTGGTCTGTCTCTGGTCTCTCTCTCTCTGGTCTCTCTCTCTGGTCTCTCTCTCTGGTCTCGCTCTGGTCTCTCTCTCTGGTCTCTCTCTCTGGTCTCTCTCTGGTCTCTCTCTGGTCTCTCTCTGGTCTCTCTCTTGGTCTCTCTCTGGTCTCTCTCTCTGGTCTCTCTCTGGTCTCTCTCTCTGGTCTCTCTTTGGTCTCTCTCTCTGGTCTCGCTCTGGTCTCTCTCTCTGGTCTCGCTCTGGTCTCTCTCTCTGGTCTCTCTCTGGTCTCTCTCTGGTCTCTCTCTGGTCTCTCTCTGGTCTCTCTCTCTGGTCTCTCTCTGGTCTCTCTCTCTGGTCTCTCTTTGGTCTCTCTCTGGTCTCGCTCTGGTCTCTCTCTGGTCTCTCTCTGGTCTCTCTCTGGTCTCTCTCTGGTCTCTCTTTGGTCTCTCTCTGGTCTCGCTCTGGTCTCTCTCTGGTCTCTCTCTCTGGTCTCTCTCTGGTCTCTCTCTCTGGTCTCTCTCTGGTCTCTCTCTCTGGTCTCTCTGGTCTCTCTCTCTCTCGTCTCTCTCTGCTCTCTCTCTCTCTGGTCTCTCTCTGATCTCACTCTGGTCTCTCTCTGGTCTCTCCCTCTGGTCGCTCTCTGGTCTCGCTCTGGTCTGTCTCTGGTCTCTCTCTCTCTGGTCTCTCTCTCTGGTCTCTCTCTCTGGTCTCTCTCTGGTCTCTCTTTGGTCTCTCTCTGGTCTCGCTCTGGTCTCTCTCTCTGGTCTCTCTCTGGTCTCGCTCTGGTCTCTCTCTGGTCTCTCTCTGGTCTCTCTCTCTGGTCTCTCTCTGGTCTCTCTCTGGTCTCTCTTTGGTCTCTCTCTGGTCTCGCTCTGGTCTCTCTCTGGTCTCTCTCTGGTCTCTCTCTCTGGTCTCCCTCTGGTCTCTCTCTGGTCTCTCTCTCTGGTCTCGCTCTGGTCTCTCTCTGGTCTGGGCATACATACAGCTCTGTTGTGAGTGGACTTCCCGCGGTGCTTGTTTGTTTGTCGTGGGGCAGAGGTCTTCAGGCTGCCTCTCTTCAGCAGGGTCCAGGTTCGGCGTCTCTCTGTGGTCAACAGGACACTGCACTTTTGTCTCTCCTTGTTTTTGTTCCCGTGGAGTGGGCTCTGACCCTCTCTCCACACGCTCCTCACAGCCTCAGGTCTCTCTCTCCTCTCTCTAACTCTGCAGTTGTTCGCTGGAACCAGAGTTTGAAATTGACTTCATAGATAAGGCTAGTCTTTCTCTGTGGTCTCTATATGGTGTCTCTCTCTGGTCCCTCTGGTGTAAGTAAGTAAGTAAGTAAGTAAGTATTTATTTATATACCGCCTTTTCACTGCAGATTTGAGTCTCAAAGCGGTTTACAATTGTTAATTTTTTGGGCATTTGTCTCTCACTCCACACAGATGGGAGCGGGGAGAGTACAGGAGGCGCATGCTAGAACTATTGGACATATTTTTAGGGGTAGGGGAAACCGGAGTACCCGGAGGAAACCTACGCAGACACGGGGAGAACATGCAAACTCCACTCAGAAAGGCCCTGGTCCGACCGGGATTCGAACCCAGGACCTTCTTGCTGAGAGGCGAGAGTGCTATCCACTCAGCCACCGTGCCGCCCGTGGTGTCTCTCTCTCTCTCTCTGGTTTCTCTCGTCCCTCCAGTGTCTCTCTCTCTCTGGTCCCTCCAGTGTCTCTCTCTGGTTTCTCTGGTGTCTCCCTCTCTCTTTCTTTGGTTTCTCTGGTCCCTCCAGTGTCTCTCACGGGTTTCTCTGATGTCTCTCTCTCTCTCTGGTTTCTCTGGTCCCTCCAGTGTCTCTCTCTGGTTTATCTGGTGTCTCTCTCTTTCTGGTTTATCTGGTCCCAGTGTCTCTCTCTGGTGTCTCTCTCTCTCTCTCTCTGGTCCCTCCAGTGTCTGTCTCTGGTTTCTCTCTCTCTCTGATATCTGTGTTCCCTCCGGTGTCTCTCTCTCTCCCTGGTCTCTCTCTCTCTCTGGTCCCGCTGGTATCTCTCTCTCCCTGGTCCCTCTGGTGTCTCTCTCTCTCCCTGGTTTTACTGGTGTCGCTCTCTCTGGTCTCTCTGGTCTCTTTATGATGTTGCTCAACGGTCTCTGGTCTCTCTCACTCTCGTGTCTCTCTCTCTCTCAGGTATCTTTATCTGGTCCCCCAATGAAACCAGAGAGAGAGACCAGAACGGGAGAGGTCAGAGAGAGAGAGACCAGAGAGGGACCAGAGAGAGACCAGAGAGAAACCAGAGAGGAGGACCGAGCCTTCTGAGCCTAACTTGTCACTGCTGAAAACCCAACTGTTCAAAACTTCCTACACTCAACTGTTTGTTTTGTCTTTTATAAAACGTCTTTGAGGGGCTGATGCAACGTGTACTGGGTGCAGCTCTGACTGCCCCTGACCCAGAAATGGATTAATGGGAAGAAAATGTATGGATGAATAAAGCGTCTTTGAGTGTCCAATACAATTTACAATACAATACAATGTATTCTTGTACAGCCCTAAATCACAACAGTATCATCTCAGAGACTTAACAAAACCATTGAAATCACCAACACAGATCAGAGAATCCACAGTTAACACATAAAGAATAAAGAACACGTGTTGATAAATGTCATACATGTTGTAGAATGTTATTATTATTATTGTTATTAGTATCAGACTGTGTTAAAAGTCTTGCCTTTTGAAATCAAACCCACGACTCCTCCCTCTCCTCTCATGACTCCTCCCACTTCTCTCATGACTCCTCCCACTCCTCTCATGACTCCTCCCAATCCTCTCATGACTCCTCTCATGACTCCTCCCACTTCTCTCATGACTCCTCCCACTCCTCTCATGACTCCTCCCAATCCTCTCATGACTCCTCTCATGACTCCTCCCACTCCTCTCATGACTCCTCCCAATCCTCTCATGACTCCTCCCAATCCTCTCATGACTCCTCCCTCTCCTATTATGACTCCTCCCACTCCTCTCATGACTCCTCCCAATCCTCTCATGACTCCTCCCACTCCTTTCATGACCCCTCCCTCGGCTTTCATGACTCCTACCTCTCCTTTCATGACCACTCCCACTCCTCTCATAGCTCCTCCCAATCCTCTTATGACTCCTCCCCTCATTTCATGACCCCTCCCAATGCTTTCATGACTCCTCCCACTGCTCTCATCACTCCTCTCATGACTCCTACCTCCCCTTTAATGACAACTCCCTCTGCTTTCATGACTCCTCCTACTCCTCTCATGACGCCTCTCCTTCCTCATGACTCCTCCCACGCCTCTCCTGACTCTTCCCCCTCCTCTTCTGACTCCTCCCCCTCCTCATGACTCCTACCTCTCCTCTCCAGACTTCTCCTACTCCTCTCCTGACTCCTCCCTCTCCTCCTGACTCCTCCCCCTCCTCTCCTGACTCCTCCCGCTCCATCATCACAGACAGACGCACATGTATGTTTCCGTGGTGACAGTGTGGCCCGTCTCCTTCGCAGCCCTGTCACATTACACACATTACTGCAGCTGCTTTAATGCCTCCCATTGATTTCCGACGCTTAGCTACATGTTCGTTCTGAACATATAAACGGCTCAAGGTTACACGGCCGTCATTCAGGGTCCCACTCACACAAGCACATAAGTGGACTGTGTTTAAGTGGAGGCAGTTTTTCCGATGAATAGACGCACATACATCAAACATATGTAGATAGGTTGGCCGAGGGATTGCCTGAGCTACTTTATACTCTGAGCAAGGCAAAAACGTCTGCTGATTGCTAGCTTTGTGATAAATGTACCAAATATTTTGTGTGGATCCAAAAGTCATAGATGATCACAGAAGCAGACAGAAGCATGATTGTTGTGTTTTAAACCATATACTGTATACTGACAATGCTAACCGGCTAGCTAACCGGCTAGCTCATTTAAGTCCAAAGTGAAGTTTTGCTCCATCTCTCTCTGGCTCGTATTGACTCACAAGTAAAACTAAACTCCTCTCACTCAGTCCCTTTCGGGTTTTGCGCTCTCTGTGATCCTGATTTTGTCAATCTTTTTTAGATCCAGATTTGAGCCGTTTAAGGATTGACCGATCAATTCCATTTCCATTTATGTTTGTATCACAGCCGCAGTCGTCTCAGAGACTTTACAAAGATGTCGATTCACCAACACAGCACTTGATTATTCTCTCACTCCAACCAATACTATTTGCATTTATCAAAAGAGAAAGCTAGCATTCAATATTCAAGCAGCGTCTTTTGTCAGCGTTTTAAATATGATTAACAACACATTCCAAACTGGTTCCTCACAATAAAACATCTGTCTCTGGTCTACAGTCTGAAGGCCATTGTTGATAAAGCATTATTCATGTTGGTTACAAATTAAATGTCGCCATACGCGGTGTAAACTGCAGCTTTCCTTTGCAACCATGTTAGCAACACGTTCGCCCCTGTCACAGTGGGAAGCTAACCCTGTCCAAACAAATGCCCTTATAAGGAAAGAGGCTCCAGCTCTAGCTTATGTTTAAATCAGCTTCTTCAAACTGCGATGAGAGACTGACACTTTTGAAGGATAGCACTGTTAGCCCCGCCCACGCTCGCCCCGGCAGCTTCCTGATTGGTCAAAATGAATTAAAATCCTTGAGGTCCCTTGAGGTTTAGGACATTTTACAAGTCGGAGTTTATCCAAGTGGGAAAGACAGATATTATTAATATCTTATAGTTGAAGAATACATTCTATTCACACTAGTACAGTTTCCTATGCTCAGAAATATGCATTAGAATTGAAGATGTATCTCCTTTAAGAGCTTTAACTCTGGGTTTAACTCTGGACTCTGTTTTTCTTCCGTATGATTGCTTTTGTGTCCTGTTGATGCCCAAAACAAAACTGTCCCACGACTGGGATCATAAACTAAAAGTATTGGGCTCCATGGCCTGTCGGTCTGCGGGAGCGGATCTCTCAGGCTGGGCCTCCTCAGGTTTCTCACTTTATTTTTGGGTGGTTTTTGGGTGGTTCCTCTCTGATGCAGAAGGGTCTGAGGACAGATCCAAGTAACTCATCTTTATTTATATAGCACAATACAGATCAAAGTCCTTTTACAGTGTTCAGAGTTCAGATACATGTTTAACATCACAGTGGTCGTCCCGCTCCTTATGGACCAAATGTGCTTGTTATTATTAACTTTTCTGTGTTTGTACTGTTTGAATCTCTGATTTGTTTTTGGTGAATCAACAACCTTGTAGAGTCCTCTGAGACGACTGCTGTAGTGATCTAGGCCTATACACCAATACTTTCAAATAGATGGATGGATAAAGAATGGTTCAGACCATTTTCTCTGCTCTAGTCCAAAAGCTTCATTAGCATTTTTCAAAAAGTTAGCATTGCCCCAGTGGATATTCTCCTGATCCACTTGGTTCGGACCATGAATCCTCTCTGCTCTGGTCTGGACCAGTGTAAAACCATGAATCCTCTCTGCTCTGGTCTGGACCAGTGTAAAACCATGAACACTGTTCTGAAGCAACATCTCAGGCAGAAAAAAAGCAAAAGAAAAATAACTGTAAAACACAAAAAAACAACTGTTTCAGAGACACTCAGGAAGTGCTTCTGTTTCCAGAGCATTAAAAAGAAATGATGCACGGCTAAAGTCTTTCGCAGTGAATCTGAAAAACACACAGATCTGAACAGCTGTGCTCTTTCACACATGGACTCTTTGTAAATAATGAAGAGTGCTGCATGTGTTTGAAAGGGCAGCGTTTCTCTCTCCGTCGAGCTAATTGAGCGAACACCGGTGCGTCTGAAGGAGGCTGCCAGATAACCTTTAAGTAGTGGAAGGTTTACGGCTCATTCAAGTCAAACACTCCTGGATAATGAACCGTGGGCTTTGACGAAACACTGCAGTCGAGACAAGATCTAACCCTGTGTCATACTCATTGTTGGGAGTAACGGGGTTTAAAGAGGACGCAAGCAAGGCCCAGCTCTCTCCAAGATGTCTGCCTCAAGTTTATCCAAGATGTCTGCCTCAAGTCTATCCAAGAAATCTGCCCCAGGTCTCTCCAAGATATCTGACCCCGGTCTCTCCAAGATGTCTGCCTCAAGTCTCTCCAAGATATCTGCCCCCGGTCTCTCCAAGATATCTGCCCCCGGTCTCTCCAAGATGTCTGCCTCAAGTCTCTCCAAGATGTCTGCCTCAAGTCTCTCCGAGATGTCTGCCTCAAGTCTATCCAAGAAATCTGCCCCAGGTCTCTCCAAGATGTCTGACCCCGGTCTCTCCAAGATATCTGCCCCCGGTCTCTCCAATATGTCTGGCTCAAGTCTCTCCGAGATGTCTGCCTCAAGTCTCTCCAAGAAATCTGCCCCCGGTCTCTCCAAGATGTCTGACCCCGGTCTCTCCAAGAAATCTGCATAAAAATTAGCCAATGCTAATATATAGCATCTTACCTCTTGAAAACTTCATTACAGGATGGTCCAAAAGTGGCTCTTGGCCCAAAGCTCCGTTCCACATGTGTGTCAATGCTGAGGGGGGTGTTTTGGACCAGTCTAGTTTACTCGCTGTGAATTTTCTAAGGCACTTGTTAAATGAATGGGGCTCATGCTCATGTTTTTTTCTTCTTCACATTTTCCAGCCCCCGCGGCCATTTTGAAAAGCCCCATAGAAGGCGAAAGTGGTGTCACATTAGTTTGAACGGTGGAGATAGGTGTGACTACGTCTGTTGATATTTACAGTCTCTGAAACAGAGAATGGGACAGCAGGTGATTAGCAATGAACAGACTACGGCATGACAGATATACAGCCATTTTAATGAAACGATCATTTCTTTTTGTGACGCCGTGTGTGCTAATTGTGCTCCACCAATTAACTCGCCTCTTTTAGCCACGACCGCACTCGTACATTCACAGCTGCCAGTAACAAAGACATATATTCAAAAGAAAACAGCCTCCAGGCCCGTTCCTCCGCCACATTTCTCCCTCCTAACCACGACCAGGCAGCGTGAAACCCCCACACTTTATCCATCAACTGTAAATGAGCTGCTTTAATTAATCGCTGGCCAAAGGGAACCCACCCACATTAATATTCCGGTCCAGCAGCGCGGCGCCAGACAGGCCTTTTGGAAGCAGCCATGATGGATGCTTTGTTGGACACGAGACGAGAGCGAGAGGGGGGAAAACCATCGGCCAGGAAGCAGGTTGGACGTCCCGGGAAGTGGAGAGACCTCAACCTTGGGCGGTTAATTGAGTAGAAAATACGAGGCGGTAGCAGGAGCCGCGCCCGGATCCCAACGGCGCTCGCTGGACGGCGTTGTAAAAGCGGGAGGAGGTTTACGGTCGGAGGAGAAGCAGAGAGTAATGGAGCCCCGGAGGCGGCGACCGAGGCCGTCGGTGTCGCGCTTTTGATGCGATCGTTGGCTTTATATATTACTGAGATAATTGAAATATTATGTTATGAAATGTGATTGAGTTTTACAAGTTTCGTGGGCGCGTCCCAAAGCGTTTTTATTTGAATTGGTGCCGTATGGATCGGAGGTCATGAGGGTGACGGTCGTTTACGGTCCATCAATCCTCTTTTATTGGTCGAGCACAGTTCGTACATAATGCAACGCCGAGGGTTTAGCATTTTATGGTTTCCTCAGCCATTTGGCAGATTATCTTTTGAGTCTCGACATTAACTTGAAGCTTGGAACTGAAATGTCACTTGGTTTTAGGCACTTTTACGTCAAACTGCAGCTCAACCATTTGGTAAAGGTCTTCATTTGGTAAAGGTCTATAATAAAAGAAAATATAGGTTAAAAACAACTTAAAAACAACTCATTTGTGTTATTAGTACATTTTAGTAAATCCAAAATGAAAAAAATGCTTTCTTCAAGGAGTGAATGTTAAAGGGTTAAAACTCCTCAACACTGTTTGGTTTACAGGAGGGTGGATCATCACGGCTATTGGTGCTAACTGTCAATCATTCTTGTGTTTTGTGACCAGAGGCCGCCGTACGTGTCGTCAAACAAAGAGTGTTTTTGAGGTTCTTTCCCACGATGGTGTTGAAAGGTTCTCACTGATGCTTCAAACGAAAAGTTTCTACTCAAGGTAAAGTTTGGATTCTATCGGAGAAGTCCATTTCAAACCACTTTGAGTAAAAGTTATCTACGACTGTATTCTTCTTAGAAAGGAGGAGGACTACTGTGATAGTACTTCCTGGTTCTAGTCAAGAGTTTTGAGAATACTCATTTAACAACGGCCTCTAACTTCGTGGTCTCAGCGTCCGTCAGAATAGTGCCGTTCTCCTCCTCTCTTCGTGGTCATTGGCTCTTCGTTCTCATTGGTTCTTGGCGGCCATTGGTCGGGGCTGCGGTGGGGCTGGCCTGGAGTGCTCTGCTCCAGAAGCTAATTTCAGATTGGACGGCGGCCATTTTGAGCAGGAGCGCGGCCAAGAGTCATTATCGGCGGCTCCAGCGTGATTGCTGTAATAGCTCAGGAACGCTCTGAGCTTTAGCTAACGCCGTGTTATAAATGAGCTCATTTAGATCTCAAATCTAAGGTGAGAGCGTCTATCTCTCATTAGCAGCTTCCACCTGAGTTTGGAGACAGAAAGGATGAAAAACCGATGATTCTTAAACTTTTCGTTTAAGAATCATCGGTTTTTAACATTAAAGATTCAGTCAGGGATTATTTCCAGACGCATGTTTTTAAATATTGTGGGAAAACGTCCCTAAACACTAAAAGTATCAAGTTATCAAATAGTGAAGGAATTCACCAGATATCGTTAGTCTCCAAAAATTAATAAAACATATTTTGGAGCGGACCGATAAAAATAAACCGGATTTGTTCATCCCCTTCACCCTCTTCCTATTTCTCTGAGTGCACCGGAGTTATCGGATTTTCTAAAACCTAAAATGGCTGAACGGAAAATGCCAATTTCTCCCTGTCATGACGAGAAAAGAAAATGCTGGATGTTTGGTTTGGTGGAGAGGAGAGGGGGGAGTGGTTTGGTGGAGAGGGGGGGAGTGGTTTGGTGGAGAGGGGGGGAGTGGTTTGGTGGAGAGGGGGGGAGTGGTTGGTTTGGTGGAGAGGGGGGAGTGGTTTAGTGGAGAGGGGGGAGTGGTTTGGTGGAGAGGGGGGTGTGGTTTGGTGGAGAGGGGGGTGTGGTTTGGTGGAGAGGGGAGGGGGGAGTGGTTTGGTGGAGAGGGGGGTGTGGTTTGGTGGAGAGGGGGGAGTGGTTTGGTGGAGAGGGGGGTGTGGTTTGGTGGAGAGGGGGGAGTGGTTTAGTGGAGAGGGGGGAGTGGTTTGGTGGAGAGGGGGGTGTGGTTTGGTGGAGAGGGGGGAGTGGTTTGGTGGAGAGGGGGGTGTGGTTTGGTGGAGAGGGGGGAGTGGTTTGGTGGAGAGGGGGGAGTGGTTTAGTGGAGAGGGGGGAGTGGTTTGGTGGAGAGGGGGGTGTGGTTTGGTGGAGAGGGGGGAGTGGTTTGGTGGAGAGGGAGGGGAGGGGGGAGTGGTTTTGAGTTGGTGCTACGGCTAAGCTAACAAAATCTCTAACTATATCTTTAAACCAACATCTGCTTGGACCTTTTTATATTATTAGTTGTTTACAAACGGGTGAGACACAGACGCCAGAAAGAGGCCGATTGGAGCTAGCTAGAACCCAATATCTGTCTACGTGAATCTGTTCCGACTGGGTTAGATTTAGCGCCGTAGGTAAGATGCAAATGAACGTGTTGCTAAGACGGTTGCACGGGCAAGCTGGAGTTTCCCCTGAAGGCATCTGATTGGTCAACTCATGTCTGGATTTACAAAGACAACATCAAATATTATCAGCAGAACCACAGAGAGAAGGAACAGATGGATTTTTTAGAGGAGTTTACTTTTACGTGTGAGTCAACAGATTTCATCTTGTATCGGACTAAATCAGTAGTTTCTTTTTCTTTAGTAGTAGACTTTACAAAACTGTCGATCGGCCAACAACAGATCAGAGAATCAAACAGACGGAGCAACACTTCCATGAGCCCCTTTTAAGCTTTGTCTCTTCGGCAAATCTTGTTTTATTTTTAAATGTACTTGAACCAGTGGCGGCTGGTGGAATTTTCTACTGGGGGGGCTATGAATATGATGACTAGATATATACCAGCAGTAAGTAAGTTTACACTGACTGTTGTGACTGAAGCCTCACACGAGAATCAACAAGGTCACATGATCAGGCCTGTGGCTTTCATCCAGCTGGGATGAAATATTTATCTTCCCAAACATAGCTAATTTGAGGGCATTTTGTATGTGGATACCAGTCTGCTCATGCTTCTTTGCCTTTTCTAAAAAGTGCTTCAGATCTGTCATACCTGTCTTGATCCATGCTGGGTCAGATCCTGATGTTTGAAACAAGAGGCATGGAAAGCAAAATAAAGCATTAGCCTCGCTACATGCTGCTAGCCAAGATTTGGCGCTGAACCAGGTCTTGGAAAAAGTACGTGTACCGTCTCCCCCTGTCGCTGGACTGCTGACCAATGGTAATATTTGGCTGATCAGGTCCAAGCTCTTTAACCTCAACCTTCTCCTGGTATGATCTTCTCTCAAACGGTATTGTTTTGAGTGATCTAACTGAATTATTCTTTTTCTCGTTCTCCATTTTGCGTCTCTTTACGTTCTTCTCAAACTCCCACAGCTTGACCTGTCAATCACTGTAAACGGACGTCACAGACAGTGACAGTACAGGTCGCGGGCGATCCCGCCCCCTCAGGGCGCACTTCTCCTGCGCCCCCAAATCGTCTTATCTCTTGCATTGAAGAGGAGCTACTGCGCATGTACAACTTTTAACGAGAGTCCATAGACGGCTCAGGGCGCAATCTTTTGCGCCCTGAGGCGGAAATACGTCCTCAGTCCGACACAGACAACGCTGATGAGCTTAATCAATCCAACTCAGCATAAACTATAAAGTATTTCTTCCACATCTGAAATAAAACACACATACATTTCGAAATATTTTAATGTTATTATTTTTTTAAACGTTTTATTCAAGGTAACATGGCAAGTTGTGAGTGGTGGGGCGGCGCCCTAGCGCCCTCTATTGGCCGGCCGCCACTGACTTGAACCAAGATTAAAAAAAGGTCTGAAGAGTGTTGGGAAAACCAGAAGTCGGCTCTCGGACCAGGAGAGTATTTTGGAGGCAGTTCTTGTGACTCACAGATATAACGTCTATCAACAGGATCAAACAACACTATTTAGGCCTTGACCTTTTTCACCCAGTTCCAGAATCGCTCAGTAGGGGGAGCGCTTGAGCAGTAACAGAGCGGAGTCATATTCACAGGACAAGGGGTAACATGGATGAAGGTATAATGATTAGCAATGAATTAAAGATATTTGACCTAATGTTTGAAATCACCAGACAGGAAAGTTCAACACGTTGTTTATTCATTAGAAATTATTATGTGGAAATGATCAAATATTGTAGATAATGATAATAATAATAATCAGCATAATATTAATGAAAATAAAAATAAATAAAATAATAATAATAATAATCAGCATAATATTAATGAAAATAAAAAATAAATAAAATAATAACATAATAATAATAATCAGCATAATATTAATGAAAATAAAAATAAATAAAATAATAACATAATAATAATAATCAGCATAATATTAATGAAAATAAAAATAAATAAAATAATAATCATAAAATAATAATAAAATAAAAATAATAATAATATAATAATAGAAATAAAAATGATAATGGTAATAATAATAATAATAATACACTGGTTTTATACAGAGCTTTTCTCGACACCCAAAGGTTTCTTCACATCATTATTCTTTCTCCTCATACACAGTGGTGATAAACTAATACTTTAGTCACAGCTGCCCTGGGGCACACTGACAGAAGCGAGGCAACCAGTCTGTGCCATCGGCCCCTCCCACCACCACCAACCATTCACACACACACCAGACTCATTCTAGGCAATGGGGGTGAAGTGTCTTGCCTAAGGACACAACCACAGTTTGGCACTTTAAAGCCGCAGCCGCCCCACTGTGGCACCTGCTGTTCCCAGAGGTCTCTCATCACTGCACTAACCAGGCCCTGCCCTGCTTAGCTTCAGAGGTCTGACAGGATCTGGCTCTAACCTCCAGGTATGACCACATTTACGAGAATCAGACAAACTAGACTCTGATAGAATCCTAAAAATGTAGATTGGGACGTCAGAAAAGTGGTATTGAGACGATCCCTGAAGAGCACTTTTTAATAACTCTTTTTGAGCAAAACAATGTCAGACACACACATGCTACTCGCTGCTGCGTGTCGTTGTGCGTTTACATGTCGTTGTGGAGTGTTGTTTGTTGTGTTTCCACCTCCTTAAACAGAACGACGCCTCCGTTCTCCGCAGCATTGACCCAATATGCAAATGAGCAGGAAGAGGGTTTGAAGCTTGTTGCATACGTGTGGCATTCCACCTGAGTGTGTGTGTGTGTGTGTGTGTGAACATCTGGGTGCTCTGTGGGCGGTGTGTGTTGCTTTTCTCTGTGTGTGTGTCGCAGATTGACAGGAGCCTGAGGAGCTCTGCAGTGTTTAACTCCTGTCTCTGTTTCTCTGCAGCGAAAGACTCAAACTGTTCTGGGTCCAGACGATCGGAGGATGAAGATGAAGAGGAGGGACAGGGGTTTCTCTCACGCAGGTGGTGACGAGGGACGGGGGTTTCTCTCACAGTAAAAAGACAGTGCCAATTGGTAATGTCAATGTTTGCTGCAGATTACTGAATACTTAAACAACTGCAGTCCAGACTAGACCCTCTCTCTGGTCTCTCTTTCTGGTCTCTGCCTCTGAGCTCTCTTTCTGGTCTCTGCCTCTGAGCTCTCTTTCTGGTCTCTGCCTCTGAGCTCTCTTTCGGTCTCTGCCTCTGGTCTCTCTTCTTGGTCTCTCTCTCTCTCTCTGATCGGAGGACTGAAACACAGTGAAAAGACAGTGACTGCAGATGAATACTAAAGCAAATGCATTCCAGACTAAAACCAGGACCTCTTTCTGGTCTCTCTGGTCTCTATGGTCTCTCTCTGGTCTCTCTGGTCTCTCTGGTCTCTCTCTGGTCTCTCTCTGGTCTCTCTCTGACAGTGGTACCATCACATTAGTCCTGGTCTCAGGTCTCTGTTTGACTTTAAACCAGTTCTGTTTGTTGCAGGTCTCTTCGGACAAAAGCACATCTGTGACATGAACCAACTCTGACGAGCACGGACTCTGAGGAGCACAGGGACTGGCCTCCTGCTGGGACTCTGAGGAGCACAGGGACTGGCCTCCTGCTGGGACTCTGAGGAGCACAGGGACTGGCCTCCTGCTGGGACTCTGAGGAGCACAGGGACTGGCCTCCTGCTGGGACTCTGAGGAGCACAGGGACTGGCCTCCTGCTGGGACTCTGAGGAGCACAGGGACTGGCCTCCTGCTTGGACTCTGAGGACCACAGGGACAAGCCTCCTGCTGGGACTCTAAGGAGCACAGGGACTGGCCTCCTGCTGGGACTCTGAGGACCACAGGGACTGGCCTCCTGCTGGGACTCTGAGGAGCACAGGGACTGGCCTCCTGCTGGGACTCTGAGGAGCACAGGGACTGGCCTCCTGCTGGGACTCTGAGGAGCACAGGGACTGGCCTCCTTCTGGGACTCTGAGGACCACAGGGACTGGCCTCCTGCTGGGACTCTGAGGAGCACAGGGACTGGCCTCCTGCTGGGACTCTGAGGAGCACAGGGACTGGCCTCCTGCTGGGACTCGGAGGCGCACAGGGACTGGCCTCCTGCTGGGACTCTGAGGAGCACAGGGACTCCGCAGCACGAGCCGAATACTGTATGAAGGACTGTGCGGCTCAACAGCAGCTGATCCAGACTGAAGCCAGTGGATCGGACTGTGGGGTTTATTAAGACATGAACCTTTCCTCATCATTAGCTGCAATGCCTCCGGGGGGAGAGAGGAGGAGAGAGGGGTGAGAGAGGGGGGGAGAGAGGGGGAGAGAAGGGGGGGAAGAGGGAGAGAGAGGGGGGAGACAGGGAGAGAGAGGTAGAGAGTGGGGGAGAGAGAGGGGGGAGAGAGAGAGGGGGAGAGACCCAGTGTTCCATGAGGCCTATCTGGGACATCTGCTTCACGCTCGTTGCACTTTGCAGACGGATGTTCTTCTTTTTGCTGTTTTTGCAAATAGATTTACACTGATGTCAGAGAGACCAGAGAGAGACCAGAGAGAGACCAGAGAGAGACCAGAGAGAGACCAGAGAGAGACCAGAGAGACCAGAGAGACCAGAGAGAGACCAGAGAGAGGCCAGAGAGAGACCAGAGAGAGACCAGAGAGAGACCAGAGAGAGGCCAGAGAGAGGCCAGAGAGAGACCAGAGAGAGGCCAGAGAGACCAGAGAGACCAGAGAGAGGCCAGAGAGAGACCAGAGAGAGACCAGAGAGAGACCAGAGAGAGACCAGAGAGAGACCAGAGAGAGACTAGAGAGAGACTAGAGAGAGACTAGAGAGAGACCAGAGAGAGACTAGAGAGAGACAAGAGAGAGTCTAGAGAGAGACCAGAGAGACCAGAGAGAGAGAGACCAGAGAGAGACTTGAGAGAGACTAGAGAGAGACTAGAGAGAGACCAGAGAGAAACCAGAGAGAGACAAGAGAGAGACCAGAGAGAGACCAGAAAGAGACCAGAGAGAGACAATAGAGAGACCAGAGAGAGAGACCAGAGAGAGAGACCAGAGAGAAACCAGAGAGAGACAAGAGAGAGACCAGAGAGAGACCAGAAAGAGACCAGAGAGAGACAAGAGAGAGAGACCAGAGAGAGACTTGAGAGAGACTAGCGAGAGACCAGAGAGAGAGACCAGAGAGAGACCAGAGAGAAACCAGAGAGAAACCAGACAGAGACTTGAGGGAGACTTGAGGGAGACTTGAGAGAGATCAGAGAGAGACCAGAGAGAGACCAGAGAGAGACAAGAGAGAGACCAGAGAGAGAGAGACCAGAGAGAGACCAGAGAGAGGCCAGAGAGAGACCAGAGAGAGACCAGAGAGAGACCAGAGAGAGACCAGAAAGAGACCAGAGAGAGACAAGAGAGAGAGACCAGAGAGAGACTTGAGAGAGACTAGAGAGAGACCAGAGAGAGAGACCAGAGAGAAAGACCAGAGAGAAACCAGAGAGAGACAAGAGAGGGAGACCAGAGAGAGACCAGAGAGAAACCAGACAGAGACTTGAGGGAGACTTGAGAGAGATCAGAGAGAGACCAGAGAGAGACAAGAGAGAGACCAGAGAGAGACAAGAGAGAGACCAGAGAGAGAGAGACCAGAGAGAGACCAGAGAGAGGCCAGAGAGAGACCAGAGAGAGACCAGAGAGAGACCAGAGAGAGACTAGAGAGAGACCAGAGAGAGACTTGAGAGAGACTAGAGAGAGACCAGAGAGAGACCAGAGAGAGACCAGAGAGAGACCAGAGAGAGACCAGAAAGAGACCAGAGAGAGACAATAGAGAGACCAGAGAGAGAGACCAGAGAGAGAGACCAGAGAGAAACCAGAGAGAGACTAGAGAGAGACCAGAGAGAGACCAGAGAGAGACCAGAGAGAGACAAGAGAGAGAGACCAGAGAGAGACCAGAGAGAGACCAGAGAGAGAGACCAGAGAGAGACCAGAGAGAGACCAGAGAGAGAGACCAGAGAGAGACCAGAGAGAAACCAGACAGAGACTTGAGGGAGACTTGAGAGAGATCAGAGAGCGAGAGACCAGAGAGAGACAGAGAGAGACAGAGAGAGACAGAGAGAGACCAGAGAGAGACAGAGAGAGATGGCCAGAGAGAGACCAGAGAGAGACAGAGAGACCAGGAGACCAGAGAGAGAGAGACCAGAGAGAGACAGAGAGAGACCAGAGAGAGACCAGAGAGGACAGAAGGACCAGAGAGAGACAAGAGAGACCAGAGAGAGAGAGACAGAAGAGACAGAGAGAGACAGAGAGCCAGAGAGAGACGACCAGAGAGACAGAGAGATAGAGAGCCAGAGAGAGGAGAGCCAGAGAGAGGCGAACAGAGAGAGACCAGAGAGACCAGAGAGGCCAAGAGAGACAGAACCAGAGAGAGAAAAAGCCAGAGAGAGAGACCAGAGAGAGAGAGCCAGAGAGAGAGAGAGAACCAGAGAGAGAGGACCAGAGAGAGAGAGAGCCAGAGAGAGCCAGAAGACGAGAGACCAGAGAGAGACCAGAGAGAGACCAGAGAGAGACCAGAGAGAGACCAGAGAGAGACCAGAGAGAGGCCAGAGAGAGACCAGAGAGAGACCAGAGAGAGACCAGAGAGAGACTAGAGAGAGACTAGAGAGAGACTAGAGAGAGACCAGAGAGAGACCAGAGAGAGACCAGAGAGAGACCAGAGAGAGACAAGAGAGAGACCAGAGAGAGACCAGAGAGAGACAAGAGAGAGTCTAGAGAGAGACCAGAGAGAGACCAGAGAGAGACCAGAGAGAGACTAGAGAGAGACCAGAGAGAGACCAGAGAGAGACCAGACCAGAGAGAGAGAGACCAGAGAGAGACTTGAGAGAGACTAGAGAGAGACTAGAGAGAGACCAGAGAGAGACTAGAGAGAGACCAGAGAGAGACCAGAGAGAGACAAGAGAGAGACCAGAGAGAGACCAGAGAGAGAGACCAGAGAGAGACCAGAGAGAGAGACTAGAGAGAGACCAGAGAGAGACCAGAGAGAGAGACCAGAGAGAGAGACCAGAGAGAAACCAGAGAGAGACAAGAGAGAGACCAGAGAGAGACCAGAAAGAGACCAGAGAGAGACAAGAGAGAGAGACCAGAGAGAGACTTGAGAGAGACTAGCGAGAGACCAGAGAGAGACCAGAGAGAAACCAGAGAGAAACCAGAGAGAGACCAGAGAGAGACCAGAGAGAGACCAGAAAGAGACCAGAGAGAGACAAGAGAGCGAGACCAGAGAGAGAGACCAGAGAGAGACTTGAGAGAGACTAGAGAGAGACCAGAGAGAGAGACCAGAGAGAGACCAGAGAGAAAGACCCGAGAGAAACCAGAGAGAGACAAGAGAGAGAGACCAGAGAGAGACCAGAGAGAAACCAGACAGAGACTTGAGGGAGACTTGAGAGAGATCAGAGAGAGACCAGAGAGAGACAAGAGAGAGACCAGAGAGAGACAAGAGAGAGACAAGAGAGAGACCAGAGAGAGACAAGAGAGAGACTTGAGAGAGATCAGAGAGAGACCAGAGAGAGACCAGAGAGAGACAAGAGAGAGACCAGAGAGAGACCAGAGAGAGACCAGAGAGAGACTAGAGAGAGACCAGAGAGAGACTTGAGAGAGACCAGAGAGAGACCAGAAAGAGACCAGAGAGAGACAATAGAGAGACCAGAGAGAGAGACCAGAGAGAGAGACCAGAGAGAAACCAGAGAGAGACAAGAGAGAGACCAGAGAGAGACCAGAAAGAGACCAGAGAGAGACAAGAGAGAGAGACCAGAGAGAGACTTGAGAAAGACTAGAGAGAGACCAGAGAGAGAGACCAGAGAGAGACCAGAGAGAAAGACCAGAGAGAAACCAGAGAGAGACAAGAGAGAGAGACCAGAGAGAGACCAGAGAGAAACCAGACAGAGACTTGAGGGAGACTTGAGAGAGACCAGAGAGAGACAAGAGAGAGACCAGAGAGAGAGAGACCAGAGAGAGACCAGAGAGAGACCAGAGAGAGACCAGAGAGAGACCAGAGAGAGACTAGAGAGAGACTAGAGAGAGACCAGAGAGAGACCAGAGAGAAAGACCAGAGAGAAACCAGAGAGAGACAAGAGAGAGTGACCAGAGAGAGACCAGAGAGAGACCAGAGAGAGACCAGAGAGAGACCAGAGAGAGACTAGAGAGAGACTAGAGAGAGACCAGAGAGAGACTAGAGAGAGACTAGAGAGAGAGAGACCAGAGAGACCAGAGAGAGGCCAGAGAGAGACCAGAGAGAGACCAGAGAGAGACCAGAGAGAGACAAGAGAGAGACCAGAGAGAGACCAGAGAGAGACCAGAGAGAGACCAGAGAGAGACCAGAGAGAGACCAGAGAGAGACTAGAGAGAGACTAGAGAGAGACCAGAGAGAGACTAGAGAGAGACTAGAGAGAGACCAGAGAGAGACTAGAAAGAGACCAGAGAGACTTAAGAGAGACCAGAGTGAGACAAGAGAGAGAGACCAGAGAGAGAGACCAGAGAGAGACTTGAGAGAGACTAGAGAGAGACTAGAGAGAGAGACCAGAGAGAGACCAGAGAGAGACCAGAGAGAGACTAGAGAGAGACTAGAAAGAGACCAGAGAGAGACCAGAGAGAAAGACCAGAGAGAAACCAGAGAGAGACAAGAGAGAGTGACCAGAGAGAGACCAGAGAGAGACCAGAGAGAGACTTGAGGGAGACTTGAGAGAGATCAGAGAGAGACCAGAGAGAGACAAGAGAGAGACCAGAGAGAGAGAGACCAGAGAGACCAGAGAGAGGCCAGAGAGAGACCAGAGAGAGACCAGAGAGAGACCAGAGAGAGACTAGAGAGAGACTAGAGAGAGACCAGAGAGAGACTAGAGAGAGACCAGAGAGAGACCAGAGAGAGACAAGCGAGAGACCAGAAAGAGACCAGAGAGACTTAAGAGAGACCAGAGTGAGACAAGAGAGAGAGACCAGAGAGAGAGACCAGAGAGAGACTTGAGAGAGACTAGAGAGAGACTAGAGAGAGAGACCAGAGAGAGACCAGAGAGAGACCAGAGAGAGAGAGACCAGAGAGAGAGAGACCAGAGAGAGACTTGAGAGAGACTAGAGAGAGACTAGAGAGAGACCAGAGAGAGACCAGAAAGAGACCAGAGAGAGAGACCAGAGAGAGAGACCAGAGAGAAACCAGAAAGAGACAAGAGAGAGACCAGAGAGAGACCAGAAAGAGACCAGAGAGAGACAAGAGAGAGAGACCAGAGAGAGACTTGAGAGAGACTAGAGAGAGACCAGAGAGAGAGACCAGAGAGAAAGACCAGAGATAAACCAGAGAGAGACAAGAGAGAAAGACCAGAGAGAGACCAGAGAGAGACCAGAGAGAGAGACCAGAGAGAGGCCAGAGAGAGACAAGAGAGAGAGACCAGAGAGAGAGAGACCAGAGAGAGGCCAGAGAGAGGCCAGAGAGAGAGGCCAGAATTAACTAACTATTTCTCCCCCTTCCTTCTCTATGTCTTTCTTTCTTTCCCTTCATTCTCTCAATCTCCCTTTACCTCTCTCTCTTTCTCTCTCTCTCCTTCACTCTCTCTCTTTCCCCCTTACTCTGTCTCTCTCTCCCTTTCACTCTTCATCTCTCCCTCTTTCTCTCGCCTTCACTCTCCCTCTCTGTCAGTCTCTACCCTTCCGTCTCTCTCTCTCTCCCTCCCTCTCCCTCTCTCTCTCTCTCCCTCCCTCTTCCTCTCTCCTCTAACCCTCTGCTGCTCTAACAAATCCCTCTCCCACTCTCGGACCTACAGGTCTTCAGCATTCTGCCTCCTCTCCCCTGTGTTTGATCTTTACAATGCAAGTGCCAGTCCAAGTTAATCCTGCAGATCTCTCTCCGCTCTCAGACTCATCCCTCGCTCTTAGAACAACGCCTCGTAAGCCTCTGCACTTGGCATCAAAGACCGTAACAGTCCGGATCTGTCTGAGGCCTGGAACAAAAGAGGCTGTTACTATTTCACATCTGTCTGTTTGGTCACATCTGTGGATCAGACCCAGAGAGGACCACCCACCTCTCCCAGCCAATCAGAACCCAGCCAATCAGCTCTCAGCCAATCAGCCAATCAGCTATAAGCCAATCAGCTCTACGCCAATCAGCTCTCAGCCAATCAGCTATAAGCCAATCAGCTCTCAGCTAATCAGCTCTTAGCCAATCAGCTATAAGCCAATCAGCTCTCAGCTAATCTGGTCACAGCCAATCAGCTCTCAGCCAATCAGCTCTACGCCAATCAACTCTCAGCCAATAAGCTCTAAGCCATTCAGCTCTAAGCCAATCAGCTCTAAGCCAATCAGCTCTCAGCCAATCAGCTCTAATCCAGTCAGCTTTCAGCTAATCTGGTCCCGCCAATCAGCTCTCAGCCCATAGAGTCAAAGAGGGACTGATTTGATATTTGAATGAAGGGTGAGGGTGGAGGGTGGAGGGCGTTTAAAAGTAGATTTTTACTTCTGCCTACTTTCTGTCTAATTTTTTTTTCCTCTAAACATTTTGTCTTTGAGCTCAAGCAAACTTAACTGAACTGGTTTGTAACAAGATGCTCCTCAGAGTCTCAGCAGGAGTCCAGTCCCTGTGCTCCTCAGAGTCTCAGCAGGAGGCCAGTCCCTGTGCTCCTCAGAGTCTCAGCAGGAGTCCAGTCCCTGTGCTCCTCAGAGTCCCAGCAGGAGGCCAGTCCCTGTGCTCCTCAGAGTCCCAGCAGGAGGCCAGTCCCTGTGCTCCTCAGAGTCCCAGCAGGAGGCCAGTCCCTGTGCTCCTCTGAGTGAAACTTCATCCTGTGTTTTTATAATGAAGCATAAACACGGAGCGATAACGCAGCTGTGACACGTGTCATGTGACTGGACAGATTCTCAGAACAACTTTAGAGGCAAACATGAAAGGACAGAGTGTGTTTATGTCAGTGTCGCTGAGGAAGCCCCCGCACGTCTGTTTCTGATGAGATAATACTGCTGTAGCACGGGTCAAAGGTCACACAGGAGATAGCATCTGTATGCTGTTGTATATTTTAACTATGCAGATGTGAATATTGGCTGACCCTGATTTGAACTGTCTTTTCCTAAAGCAAAAAGACCTGGTTTCCCCATGTTCCTTTGTTAGTCCAAAGTGCATGGGTGAGTTAATGATAGGTAATCTGGGGGGGGATTCTGCTAATCCTGAAGGAGGGGGACCCAGAGAGCCTTCTGCCTTATCTCAAAGAAGTAATAAATTTGGGGAGTGGTAGTGTGTGTGAATGATTCTGTTTAAGGTACGGCAGACAGAGGGGACATGATGGAAGAGGCCGGACCCAAGTCCTGCCTGATACGACACGCCCCCTGCTTCCTGAACATGGACTGATAATGCTCTGGCTTGAGAGGACACAGGAGAATGAGCCGAGGGCGAGCCAGGGACATGCATAGTTTTAGGAGCCCTCTTTGTTGGAATTTCTGTATCTGATTGTAAAGATAATTAAATACAGATGTTAAAACTTGGAGATCTGTTGTCATGCCTCTGCATCAACTCGAACACGTCAGTCAAGGGAATTATTGACTTCAATGCTAACATCCTGCTAACATCAGTTAGCATGAGAACGCTAGCATCCTGCTAACTTCAGTTAGCATGCAGATGCTAACATCGGGCTAACTTCAGTTAGCATGCGGATTCTAACATCTTGCAAACATCAACATCTGCCGCTGAGGATCCACGAGCAAAGCTTTCACACAAAAGTCCTGTTTTCTTTCACTCGATTCAATATTCTCCACAGAAACTTCAGTTAGTGAGGGTCTTATCGTCCAGAGCAGTGACAGGAGAGAAAAAGAGAAGAGAGAGAAAGAAAAGCTGCTCCACACTATGAGAACAGACAGTTGCATTAGATTTCTAAAGAGGAGCGACAGAGCAATGCATAAGGTGCAAAACACATTCACACAGAGACACACAGACACACACAGACACACACAGAGACACACACAGACACACACAGAGAGAGACACAGAGAGACACACACAGAGAGACACACACAGACAGAAACACACAGAGAGACACACACAGAGAGAAACACACAGAGAGACACACACAGGGAGAGACACATAGAGAGACACACACAGACACACACAGAGACACACACAGAGAGACACACAGAGAGACACACAGAGACACACACACAGAGACTCACACACAGACACACACACAGAGACACACAGAGAGACACCCACAAAGACACACACATAGAGAGACACACACACACAGAGACACACACAGAGACACACAGACACACACAGAGAGAGACACACACACAGAGACTCACACACAGACACACACACAGAGACACACACACAGACTCACACACAGAGAGACACACACAAAGACACACACACAGAGACTCACACCCAGACACACACACAGAGACACACACAGAGACACACAGACACACACAGAGAGAGAGACACACACACAGAGACACACACAGAGCCATGTGTTAAAACGACAGGAGGCTCATCGCTGTAGTTTGCACATGTTTCCCCTATACAACTCTGGACCTCAGCTGAAAGAGAACCTACAGAGAACCTGACAGAGAACCTACAGAGAACCTACAGAGATCCTCACAGAGAACCTACAGAGAACCTACAGAGAACCTGACAGAGAACCTACAGAGATCCTGACAGAGAACCTACAGATAACCTACAGAGAACCTACAGAGAACCTGACAGAGAACCTACAGAGATCCTGACAGAGAACCTGACAGAGAACCTACAGAGAACCTACAGAGAACCTACAGAGAACCTGACAGAGATCCTGACAGAGAACCTGACAGAGAACCTACAGAGAACCTACAGAGAAACTACAGAGATCCTGACAGAGAACCTGACAGAGAACCTACAGAGAACCTACAGAGAACCTACAGAGAACCTGAAAGAGAACCTACAGAGATCCTGACAGAGAACCTACAGAGAACCTACAGAGAACCTGGCAGAGAACCTGCAGAGAACCTACAGAGAACCTGACAGAGAACCTGACAGAGAACCTACAGAGAACCTACAGAGAACCTACAGAGAACCTGACAGAGAACCTACAGAGATCCTGACAGAGAACCTACAGAGAACCTGACAGAGAACCTACAGAGAACCTACAGAGATCCTCACAGAGAACCTACAGAGAACCTGACAGAGAACCTACAGAGAACCTACAGAGAACCTACAGAGAACCTGACAGAGAACCTCACAGAGAACCTGACAGAGAACCTACAGAGATCCTGACAGAGAACCTGACAGAAAACCTACAGAGAACCTACAGAGAACCTGACAGAGAACCTGACAGAGAACCTACAGAGATCCTGACAGAGAACCTGACAGAGAACCTACAGAGATCCTGATAGAGAACCTCACAGAGAACCTGACAGAGAACCTACAGAGATCCTGACAGAGAACCTCACAGAGAACCTGACAGAGAACCTACAGAGATCCTGACAGAGAACCTCACAGAGAACCTGACAGAGAACCTACAGATATCCTGACAGAGAACCTCACAGAGAACCTACAGAGAACCTGACAGAGAACCTACAGAGATCCTCACAGAGAACCTACAGAGAACCTACAGAGAACCTGACAGAGAACCTACAGAGAACCTGACAGAGAACCTACAGAGAACCTACAGAGAACCTACAGAGAACCTACAGAGAACCTATAGAGAACCTACAGAGAACCTACAGAGAACCTACAGAGAACCTGACAGAGAACCTACAGAGAACCTACAGAGAACCTACAGAGAACCTACAGAGAACCTGACAGAGAACCTGCAGAGAACCTACAGAGAACCTGACAGAGAACCTGACAGAGAACCTACAGAGAACCTACAGAGAACCTACAGAGAACCTGACAGAGAACCTACAGAGATCCTGACAGAGAACCTGACAGAGAACCTACAGAGAACCTACAGAGAAACTACAGAGATCCTGACAGAGAACCTGACAGAGAACCTACAGAGAACCTACAGAGAACCTACAGAGAACCTGAAAGAGAACCTACAGAGATCCTGACAGAGAACCTACAGAGAACCTACAGAGAACCTGGCAGAGAACCTGACAGAGAACCTCACAGAGAACCTACAGAGATCCTGACAGAGAACCTCACAGAGAACCTGACAGAGAACCTACAGAGATCCTGACAGAGAACCTGACAGAGAACCTACAGAGAACCTACAGAGAACCTGACAGAGAACCTGACAAAGAACCTACAGAGATCCTGACAGAGAACCTCACAGAGAACATGACAGAGAACCTACAGAGATCCTGACAGAGAACCTCACAGAGCACCTACAGAGAACCTGACAGAGAACCTACAGAGAACCTGACAGAGAACCTACAGAGAACCTACAGAGATCCTCACAGAGAACCTACAGAGAACCTACAGAGAACCTGACAGAGAACCTACAGAGAACCTGACAGAGAACCTACAGAGATCCTGACAGAGAACCTCACAGAGAACCTACAGAGAACCTACAGAGAACCTGACAGAGAACCTACAGAGATCCTGACAGAGAACCTGACAGAGAACCTACAGAGAACCTACAGAGAAACTACAGAGATCCTGACAGAGAACCTGACAGAGAACCTACAGAGAACCTACAGAGAACCTACAGAGAACCTGAAAGAGAACCTACAGAGATCCTGACAGAGAACCTACAGAGAACCTACAGAGAACCTGGCAGAGAACCTGACAGAGAACCTCACAGAGAACCTACAGAGATCCTGACAGAGAACCTCACAGAGAACCTGACAGAGAACCTACAGAGATCCTGACAGAGAACCTGACAGAGAACCTACAGAGAACCTACAGAGAACCTGACAGAGAACCTGACAAAGAACCTACAGAGATCCTGACAGAGAACCTCACAGAGAACATGACAGAGAACCTACAGAGATCCTGACAGAGAACCTCACAGAGCACCTACAGAGAACCTGACAGAGAACCTACAGAGAACCTGACAGAGAACCTACAGAGAACCTACAGAGATCCTCACAGAGAACCTACAGAGAACCTACAGAGAACCTGACAGAGAACCTACAGAGAACCTGACAGAGAACCTACAGAGATCCTGACAGAGAACCTCACAGAGAACCTACAGAGAACCTGACAGAGAACCTACAGAGAACCTGACAGAGAACCTACAGAGAACCTGACAGAGAACCTCACAGAGAACCTCACAGAGAACCTACAGAGAACCTGACAGAGAACCTACAGAGAACCTGACAGAGAACCTACAGAGAACCTGACAGAGAACCTCACAGAGAACCTGACAGAGAACCTACAGAGAACCTGACAGAGAACCTACAGAGAACCTACAGAGATCCTCACAGAGAACCTACAGAGAACCTGACAGAGAACCTACAGAGAACCTACAGAGAACCTACAGAGAACCTGACAGAGAACCTCACAGAGAACCTGACAGAGAACCTACAGAGATCCTGACAGAGAACCTGACAGAGAACCTACAGAGAACCTACAGAGAACCTGACAGAGAACCTGACAGAGAACCTACAGAGATCCTGACAGAGAACCTGACAGAGAACCTACAGAGATCCTGACAGAGAACCTACAGAGATCCTGACAGAGAACCTCACAGAGAACCTGACAGAGAACCTACAGAGATCCTGACAGAGAACCTCACAGAGAACCTGACAGAGAACCTACAGATATCCTGACAGAGAACCTCACAGAGAACCTACAGAGAACCTGACAGAGAACCTACAGAGATCCTCACAGAGAACCTACAGAGAACCTACAGAGAACCTGACAGAGAACCTACAGAGAACCTGACAGAGAACCTGACAGAGAACCTGACAGAGAACCTGACAGAGAACCTACAGAGATCCTGACAGAGAACCTCACAGAGAACCTGACAGAGAACCTAAAGAGAACCTGACAGAGAACCTACAGAGATCCTCACAGAGAACCTACAGAGAACCTACAGAGAACCTGACAGAGAACCTACAGAGAACCTGACAGAGAACCTGACAGAGAACCTACAGAGAACCTGACAGAGAACCTGACAGAGAACCTGACAGAGAACCTACAGAGAACCTGACAGAGAACCTGACAGAGAACCTACAGAGAACCTGACAGAGAACCTGACAGAGAACCTACGGCTTTCACAAAGATCTTACAGTAAATCCACACAGACTCTGCTCCTTTCCTTCTCGCTCTAGTTCCGTTCAAACTCTTGCTCTGGCTCCGCTCTGATTGGTCGGAACTCGGCCGAGCCCCTCTGTGCACGTGCATGAGAGCTACACACACGTATTTGGCGCAAACCATCATGGGAGCCCGTCCACTGTAGAATCAGGAGGACCAGACAATGCCCAAATATGGGCGAGGTCCGCTAATCTCTCGGTGACCATGGAGCACATGCGGCGCAGAGCACGAGCCAACGATATGAACAGGCCGCCATCTTGGATCACCGGGGCTAAGGCCGGACGCGGCGCCGTGTCTTCTTCATAGACCTTCATTTAGCATTAGCCTAGCTCCACACGTTAGCTTAGAGACAAACTCAGCTCTGCCGTGGCTCTCTACGCTCTGGTCTGGGCAAAATCCTGGCTCTACTGGTCCTGACTCTCCTGGTCCTGACTCTCCTGGTCCTGACTCTCCTGGTCCTGGCTTTCCTGGTCCTAGCGTTCCTGGTCCTGGCCTTCCTGGTCCTGGCCTTCCTGGTCCTAGCCTTCCTGGTCCTGGCCTTCCTGGTCCTGGCCTTCCTGGTCCTAGCCTTCCTGGTCCTGGCCTTCCTGGTCCTAGCGTTCCTGGTCCTGGCCTTCCTGGTCCTGGCCTTCCTGGTCCTAGCCTTCCTGGTCCTGGCCTTCCTGGTCCTGGCCTTCCTGGTCCTAGCCTTCCTGGTCCTGGCCTTCCTGGTCCTGGCTCTCTCCTCTAACTATCTTCCAGAACTATAGATAAACCTCTGTGAGCCGTAGATTGTTGAAAAACCAAAACAAGTTGTCGTACTGCAAATATTGCCATTCTTGCTATTATTACTACTGCTACTACTACTACTACTACTGCTACTACTACTACTACTACTATTTCAACTATTTCCCGGTCGGACCAGGTCCTTTGCATGTTCTCCCTGTGTCTGTGTAGGTTTCCTCCAGGTACTCCGGTCTTCCCTACCACTAAAAACATGTACAATAGTTCATGTGCCTCCTTATGGGGTAAGGTTACTGTCAATAAAGACGTGCATGTCTAAAAAAAATGTGTGCATATTTATTGGTATTTGTGCATACAAATATTTTATTAATTCATGATATAGATAATACAAACTAAAAAGACATGGAATTTCGTAATTAAGAATAAAAAAAATATAAAACTATGTGTGATTTTGTACTTGTGAATGCGATTTTTTTTTTGTGTGCTTGCATTTTCTTTTTGAGAATACGAATTTCAGCAGTGAGCAAACTGTCAATAATACGTCACTGCTCACAGACATTAACAATCGAGCTGCGCAGAGTTGATCAACTTCATTGCCTAAAAACTAAACATGGCAGAAGGACACAACATAAACAAAGCGGCTCAAAATCAAGTATATAACTATATTTTATCATTTTGGTTGTAAATGAATGTGTAAGAAATATTAATTCCATAAATGTATTCATAAGAAGATGTTTCTTGTCCCTCTAAAGGTTTTTTGGCAGTGTTGTTAGCTCCAATGCTAGTTTTATTTTCTTATCCTTATATTGTTTTATTCTACAGAAAATAATGCATTTATTTTAGTCTAAACAACAGACTAACTAGTCTTACTGAACTAGTGAGTAAAAGTAATGTGTCAAATGTACAAATATAAGATTGAGGTCCACAGGGACAGGGTCTGCTACGTCTAACAACCAAGGATGAATATAGCACAGAGGTGTTCTTCGTATTGCTCAGGGGCAGTAACAGCGCGAACTATGAATAATCTGGAGGGTTGGGACTGGTATCAACACTTTAACCACATTGATTTGGGGCAAAGGCTTCATAAAATGTAACTGCTAAGAATGTAAAAATGTTGGTTTTAAAATAACACGGTAAGCTGTAAAACTAGCCTTGAAGCTAGTGTTAAGTTTAAACACTGCCTAAAAAAACGTTTCTAGAGAGGGACAAGAAACATCTTATGAACACATTTTATGGAATTAATATTTCTTACACATTTATTTACGACCAAAATAATCAAATATAGTTATTTACCTGATTTTGAGCCAAATTGTTAATGTTGTTGCCCTCTGCCATGAGCAACTCTGCGCAGGCTCGATTGTTAATGTCTGTGAGCAGTGACGTATTATTGACAGTTTGCTCACAGCTGAAATTCGTATTCTCAAAAAGAAAAAAGCAAGCACACAAAAAAAAATCGTATTCACAAGTACAAAATCACACATACAGTTTTATATTTTTTTATTCTTAATTACGAAATTCCATGTCTTTTTAGTTTGTATTATCTTAATCATGAATTCATAAAAATAAATTATGCACAAATACCAATAAATATGCATTTTTTTTAGACATGCACATCTTTATTGACAGTAACCTTACCCCATACCTCCTGTACTGGCCCCGCTCCCGTCTCTGTGTGGAGTGAGAGACTAATGCCCAAAAAATAACAATTGTAAACCGCTTTGAGACTGGTCTGTGAAAGGCGCTATATAAATAAACATTACTTACTTAATTATTTGTTTGGCGCATTGACCCCGGCAGTGACACTTGCAGAGGGAAGATTGTCTGCTGCTGTAGATGATCTCAGATCCCCCGGGGTCAAGCACTGGTGGTGGCTGGGAGCCAGGGCGGGAGCCAGGGCGGGAGGCAGGGCGGGAGCCAGGGCGGGAGCCAGGGCGGGAGCCAGGGCGGGAGGCAGGGCGGGAGCCAGGGCGGGAGCCAGGGCGGGAGCCAGGGCGGGAGGCAGGGCGGGAGCCAGGGCGGGAGCCAGGGCGGGAGGCAGGGCGGGAGGCAGGGCGGGAGCCAGGGCGGGAGCCAGGGCGGGAGCCAGGGCGGGAGCCAGGGCGGGAGCCAGGGCGGGAGGCAGGGCGGGAGCCAGGGCGGGAGGCAGGGCGGGAGGCAGGGCGGGAGCCAGGGCGGGAGCCAGGGCGGGAGCCAGGGCGGGAGCCAGGGCGGGAGGCAGGGCGGGAGGCAGGGCGGGAGCAGGGCGGGAGCCAGGCCAGGGCGGGAGGCAGGGCGGGAGCCAGGGCGGGAGCCAGGGCGGGAGCCAGGGCGGGAGGCAGGGCGGGAGCCAGGGCGGGAGCCAGGGCGGGAGCCAGGGCGGGAGCCAGGGCGGGAGCCAGGGCGGGAGCCAGGGCGGGAGCCAGGGCGGGAGCCAGGAGCTGAGGAGGTGGGTGTTAAGAGCTTCAGGAAGTGGCTACTTTTAAACTGCCGCCTGCTGTCAGTGGGTTGGACTGAGTCACTGTGTGATTGGCTGAGGCCCTGGACGGGTGAGCGCCGTGGCTGGTCTTTCAATCTGAATTTGCGTTTAAGCTTCATTACTACTGCCACTACTATTACTACTACTACTACTACAACTATTACTACTACTACTGCCACTACTACCACTACTACTAATACTACTACTACTACTGCTACTACTACTACAACTATTACTACTACTACTATTATTACTTCTGCCCAGTGTTCCTCAAACATGCAGTTACTAAAACTTGAATTAGTGCGAAGTGAGCGACAATGGCTGTGGTTAATTTCCCGTTTCCTGGTTCAGACTCGTTTCAGACCTGACTCGGACCTGTTTCAGACCTGTTTCAGACCTGTTTCAGACCTGGTTCAGACTCGTTTCAGACCTGACTCGGACCTGTTTCAGACCTGTTTCAGACCTGGTTCAGACTCGTTTCAGACCTGACTCGGACCTGTTTCAGACCTGTTTCAGACCTGTTTCAGACCTGGTTCAGACTCGTTTCAGACCTGACTCGGACCTGTTTCAGACCTGTTTCAGACCTGGTTCAGACTCGTTTCAGACCTGACTCGGACCTGTTTCAGACCTGTTTCAGACCTGTTTCAGACCTGGTTCAGACTCGTTTCAGACCTGACTCGGACCTGTTTCAGACCTGTTTCAGACCTGGTTCAGACTCGTTTCAGACCTGACTCGGACCTGTTTCAGACCTGTTTCAGACCTGTTTCAGACCTGGTTCAGACTCGTTTCAGACCTGACTCGGACCTGTTTCAGACCTGTTTCAGACCTGTTTCAGACCTGGTTCAGACTCGTTTCAGACCTGACTCGGACCTGTTTCAGACCTGTTTCAGACCTGGTTCAGACCCGTTTCAGACCTGACTCGGACCTGGCGCAAACCTGGCTCAGACCTGACTCAAACCGGTTTCAGACCTGGCTCGGACCTGGTTCAGACCTGTGTCGGACCTGGTTCAGACCTGGTTCAGACCTGTGTCGGACCTGGTTCAGACCTGGCTCAGACTGTAGCGGGTTTGCGGGAGAGAGTCGGTGTGAAGACCCGGGACTGTGCGCTCTTCCGCGCTGCACTAATGAAATGTTTTCTCTACAGTTTGGGTTCGTTGAAAGCCGTGTCCCATGATGCACTTGGACACACACCATTAGAAAGATGTTGTAATGAGTTGTGCGTCTGTTCCTACTGCACACAGAGGGTTGTGCGTTTGTGGTTTTATTGTGTTACAACATTGTTCTTTGTAAAAAAACAAGTAAAATAAAATGAAAATATAGTCCTGGTTTAGTCCTGGTTCAGTCCTGGCTTTCCTGACTCGGACCTGGTTCAGACCTGGGTCAGTCTTGTAGTCCTGGCTCAGTCCTGGTTCGGACCTGGATCAGTCTTTGCTCAGTCCTGGTTCAGTCTAGGCTTAGTCCTGGCTCAGTTCTGGCTCACACCTAGTCCAGACCTGGCTCAAACCTGGTCCAGACCTTTTCTCTCAAATAAGCTCTAAGATGTTAAGAACTTCATGGAGATGGTGGTTTGTAATTTCCATCCTTAAAGCCTCCTTTGGCGCCTCCTCCTGTGGCCTCCTCCTGTGGCCCTGGCCTCCTCCTGTGGCCCTGCCTCCTCCTGTGGCCTCCTCCTGTGGCCCTGGCCTCCTCCTGTGGCCCTGCCTCCTCCTGTGGCCTCCTCCTGTGGCCCTGCCTCCTCCTGTGGCCTCCTCCTGTGGCCCTGCCTCCTCCTGTGGCCTCCTCCTGTGGCCCTGCCTCCTCCTGTGGCCTCCTCCTGTGGCCCTGCCTCCTCCTGTGGCCCTGCCTCCTCCTGTGGCCTCCTCCTGTGGCCCTGCCTCCTCCTGTGGCCTCCTCCTGTGGCCCTGCCTCCTCCTGTGGCCCTGCCTCCTCCTGTGGCCCTGCCTCCTCCTGTGGCCTCCTCCTGTGGCCCTGCCTCCTCCTGTGGCCTCCTCCTGTGGCCCTGGCCTCCTCTTGTGGCCCTGGCCTCCTCCTGTGGCCCTGGCCTCCTCCTGTGGCCTCCTCCTGTGGCCCTGGCCTCCTCCTGTGGCCCTGCCTCCTCCTGTGGCCCTGCCTCCTCCTTTGGCCTCCTCCTGTGGCCTCCTCCTGTGGCCCTGCCTCCTCCTGTGGCCCTGGCCTCCTCCTGTGGCCCTGGCCTCCTCCTGTGGCCCTGGCCTCCTCCTGTGGCCCTGGCCTCCTCCTGTGGCCCTGCCTCCTCCTGTGGCCCTGCCTCCTACTGTGGCCCTGGCCTCCTCCTGTGGCCCTGCCTCCTCCTGTGGCCCTGGCCTCCTCCTGTGGCCTCCTCCTGTGGCCCTGGCCTCCTACTGTGGCCCTGGCCTCCTCCTGTGGCCCTGCCTCCTCCTGTGGCCTCCTCCTGTGGCCCTGGCCTCCTCCTGTGGCCTCCTCCTGTGGCCCTGGCCTCCTACTGTGGCCCTGGCCTCCTCCTGTGGCCCTGGCCTCCTCCTGTGGCCCTGCCTCCTCCTGTGGCCCTGGCCTCCTCCTGTGGCCTCCTCCTGTGGCCCTGGCCTCCTCCTGTGGCCCTGCCTCCTCCTGTGGCCCTGCCTCCTCCTGTGGCCCTGGCCTCCTCCTGTGGCCCTGGCCTCCTCCTGTGGCCCTGGCCTCCTCCTGTGGCCTCCTCCTGTGGCCCTGCCTCCTCCTGTGGCCTCCTCCTGTGACCCTGGCCTCCTCCTGTGGCCCTGGCCTCCTACTGTGGCCTCCTCCTGTGGCCTCCTCCTGTGGCCCTGCCTCCTCCTGTGGCCTCCTCCTGTGGCCTCCTCCTGTGGCCCTGGCCTCTTCCTGTGGCCTCCTCCTGTGGCCCTGCCTCCTCCTGTGGCCTCCTCCTGTGGCCCTGCCTCCTCCTGTGGCCTCCTCCTGTGGCCCTGCCTCCTCCTGTGGCCTCCTCCTGTGGCCCTGCCTCCTCCTGTGGCCCTGCCTCCTCCTGTGGCCTCCTCCTGTGGCCCTGCCTCCTCCTGTGGCCTCCTCCTGTGGCCTCCTCCTGTGGCCCTGCCTCCTCCTGTGGCCTCCTCCTGTGGCCTCCTCCTGTGGCCCTGGCCTCCTCCTGTGGCCTCCTCCTGTGGCCCTGCCTCCTCCTGTGGCCTCCTCCTGTGGCCCTGCCTCCTACAGATAAGAACTCTGTCTCTGCTTCCGACTCCTTCTTTCTCCTTTTTAACTGAGAAACCGCAACGCAAGCCAATTATCTGTGAGTGCAGCTTCACGGACAACGGCTGAATATTGATGATCCACAGCCGCGCTCTCTCTCTCCCTCTCTCTCTCTCTCTCTCTCTCTCTCTCTCCCTCTCTCTCCCTCTCTCTCTCTCTCTCTCTCTCTCTCTCTCTCCCTCTCTCTCCCTCTCTCTCTCTCTCTCACAGTTAAAAGTGCATGCATATGAAAACTAGAAATAGAAGCGAACTGTTTATCTCTCTGGTCTCCCTCTAGTCTCTCTCTCTCTTCCTCTCTTTCTCTCTGTCCCCCCCCTCCCGCCATAGCTCCCAGTGAGTCACTATTTGACTCTTTGGGCTGAGAGCTGATTGGCTGAGCAAGGGTGGTCCTGTCTTTTTCATCTTTTTGTTTTTCTCTCTGTCTCTCTCTGGTCTCTCTCTCTCTCTGGTCTCGCTCTGGTCTCCCTCTGGTCTCTCAATAGTCCCCCCCTGGTCTCCCCCTCTCTTCCTCTGCTCTCTCTCCCCCTCTTCCGCCTTTACCCTACATCCCTCTCTCTCTCGCTCCCTCTCTCTCTCCCCTCTCTCTCCCCCCTCTCTATCCCTCCTTCTTTTCTCTCTCCCCCTCCCTCTCTTTCTCCCTCCTTCTCTTCCCTCTCCCTCCCTCCCCTCCCTCTCCTTCTCTTCTCTCTTTCTCTATCTCTCTCTCCCCCTTTCTATCTCTTCCCCCCTCTCTCTCCCCCTTCCCCCTCTCTTCCCTCTCTCATACATAGATTCAGAGCAGCTCCTGGCCGTTGCCGTGTGAAAGGTTTCTCGAGGGCCGTAGCTTCTGTTGCATATCTTCAAAAACCAAATATGTTTTTTTGTATTTCATGAAAGGCTCATCTGCTTTCCACTCATCTGCGGGAGCTCCTCACGGTCTCTTCCTCGCGGTCTCCTTTTGGTCGTGGGACGCGGGAGGAATGCAGAATCAGGAGTGTGTGGAGTCAGTGGGTTGAGCATGCTAACGTTAGCTTAATGAGCGAGCGGCCTCCGAAACCAATCTCTCTGAGGTCTCTGAGGTCTCTCAGGTCTCTGATGTCTGTGAGGTCTCTGAGGTCCCTGATGTCTGTGAGGTCTCTGAGGTCTCTGAGGTCTGTGAGGTCTCTGAGGTCCCTGATGTCTCTGAGGTCTCTGAGGTCTCTGATGTCTGTGAGGTCTCTCAGGTCCTTGATGTCTGTGAGGTCTCTGAGGTCCCTGAGGTCTCTGAGGTGTCTGATGTCTCTGATGTCTGTGAGGTCTCTGAGGTCTCTGAGGTCTCTGAGGTGTCTGCGGTCTCTGAGGTCTCTGAGGTCTCTGATGTCTCTGAGGTCTCTGAGGTCTCTGAAGTCTTTGAGGTCTCTGAGGTCTCTGAAGTCTTTTGAGGTCTCTGAGGTCCAATCTAGTCTCTTTCTAGTCTCCCTCTGGCCATTCTAGTTTCCCTCTGGTCTCCCACTAGTCTCCCTCTAGTGTCCCTCTGGTCTCCTCAGACAGAAAAAGTGAAAAAGAGAGAGCCCCCTCCCTCTGCTCTGACTCACCGTTATCCAGGAGATAAAGAAGTGTTGATACGACTCTTTGTGTTGAGACGCTTTGATACGACTCTTCGTGTTGAGACGCTTTGATACGACTCTTCGTGTTGAGACGCTTTGATACAACTCTTCGTGTTGAGACGTTATACTTGAATACGACTCTTCGTGTTGAGACGTTATACTTGAATACGACTCTTCGTGTTGAGACGTTACACTTTGATACGACTCTTCGTGTTGAGACGCTTTGATACGACTCTTTGTGTTGAGACGCTTTGATACGACTCTTCGTGTTGAGACGCTTTGATACGACTCTTTGTGTTGAGACGCTTTGATACGACTCTTCGTGTTGAGACGTTATACTTTAATACGACTCTTCGTGTTGAGACGCTTTGATACGACTCTTTGTGTTGAGACGCTTTGATACGACTCTTTGTGTTGAGACGCTTTGATACGACTCTTCGTGTTGAGACGCTTTGATACGACTCTTCGTGTTGAGACGCTTTGATACGACTCTTTGTGTTGAGACGCTTTGATACGACTCTTCGTGTTGAGACGTTATACTTTAATACGACTCTTCGTGTTGAGACGTTATACTTGAATACGACTCTTCGTGTTGAGACGTTACACTTTGATACGACTCTTCGTGTTGAGACGCTTTGATACGACTCTTCGTGTTGAGACGCTTTGATACGACTCTTTGTGTTGAGACGCTTTGATACGACTCTTTGTGTTGAGACGCTTTGATACGACTCTTCGTGTTGAGGCGTTATACTTTGATACGACTCTTCGTGTTGAGACGCTTTGATACGACTCTTTGTGTTGAGACGCTTTGATACGACTCTTTGTGTTGAGACGCTTTGATACGACTCTTCGTGTTGAGACGCTTTGATACGACTCTTCGTGTTGAGACGCTTTGATACGACTCTTTGTGTTGAGACGCTTTGATACGACTCTTCGTGTTGAGACGTTATACTTTAATACGACTCTTCGTGTTGAGACGCTTTGATACGACTCTTTGTGTTGAGACGCTTTGATACGACTCTTCGTGTTGAGACGTTATACTTTAATACGACTCTTCGTGTTGAGACGCTTTGATACGACTCTTTGTGTTGAGACGCTTTGATACGACTCTTTGTGTTGAGACGCTTTGATACGACTCTTCGTGTTGAGGCGTTATACTTTGATACGACTCTTCGTGTTGAGACGCTTTGATACGACTCTTCGTGTTGAGACGTTACACTTTGATACGACTCTTCGTGTTGAGGCGTTATACTTTGATACGACTCTTCGTGTTGAGACGTTACACTTTGATACGACTCTTCGTGTTGAGGCGTTATACTTTGATACGACTCTTCGTGTTGAGGCGTTATACTTTGATACGACTCTTCAATACTCTACAGGAAAGATGTGTTTTCCCAGATCCTTGTTTGACAGAGATTAGATTCTCACAGCCGCCATTTTATTATGTTTTTACTCTGATTTTATTCTGATTTTTTTCTGATTTAATTCAGATTTTATTCTGATGTCTGAAAGTCCATCAGCGGAGCATGTATTTATAGTCATATGCAGCCTGTGGAAGTTCAGTCTGGTAGACTCGCTGCTGCAGCCAAGTCTGGCCCCCTTTCCCCCTCGGCCAATCACAGCGCTGCTAACTTACGCCATTGAAGCAGCTGTTTAAAAGATTTATGTTAGAGAACCTAGGTCTTATACTAGAGGCCAGAGAGAGACCAGAAAGAGACCAGAAAGAGACCAGAGGGAGACCAGAGAGGGAGACACCAGAGTGAGACCAGAGAGAGAGACCAGAGAGAGACCAGAGAGAAAGACCGGAAATAGACCAGAAGCGAGACCATGGAGGGTGACAAGAGAGAGAGAGACCAGAAATAGACCAGAAAGAGACCAGAGAGAGAGAGTTGCTAAGATTCTAAGACAAGCTGGTCTTTCCTCTGTAAATGAAGCCCTCTGATTGGTCGATTCTTTTAAGGCTCACATCTGGATCTACAAAAACAACATCACAATAAACACAAGGATCACACTGATATTTCAGTCCACATTTGTCAGCGTCACACAAACCAGCCCTGGACCGGCCTCGCTGGGCTCAGACCTGGGTTCAGACCGGGGCTCAGACCTGGGCTCAGACCTGGGCTCAGACCTGGGCTCAGACCTGGGCTCAGACCGGGGAAGCAGCTGAGGCCCTTCCTGAGCTCGAGGCCCAGTGGAATCATTAGACTCCATCAGATCTGAGGCCACTCTGGGATGAAGATGATCCGAGTCGGTCCCGCAGCAGCCGCGGTCTTCATCACTGTCATTTTATGCTAATGAGGCGTCGTTCACAATGGACTCATCACCCTCTCCTCAGAAATTAACATTTTTCTCTTGCTCTCAGTTCGTCTGAGTCTCGCTTTTCTAATTGTTTCTACTTGACTCCAATAAAACTGTCTACAGCCTCAGTCCTGGGTTTACAGTCTCAGTCCTGGGTCTACAACCTCAGTCCTGGGTCTACAGCCTCAGTCCTGGGTCTACAACCTCAGTCCTGGGTCTACAGCCTCAGTCCTGGGTCTACAGCCTCAGTCCTGGGTCTACAGTCTCAGTCCTGGGTCTACAGCCTCAGTCCTGGGTCTACAGCCTCAGTCCTGGGTCTACAGCCTCAGTCCTGGGTCTACAGTCTCAGTCCTGGGTCTACAACCTCAGTCCTGGATCTACAGCCTCAGTCCTGGGTCTACAGCCTCAGTCCTGGGTCTACAGCCTCAGTCCTGGGACTACAGCCTCAGTCCTGGGTCTACAGCCTCAGTCCTGGGTCTACAGCCTCAGTCCTGGGTCTACAGCCTCAGTCCTGGGTCTACAACCTCAGTCCTGGGTCTACAGCCTCAGTCCTGGGTCTACATCCTCAGTCCTGGGTCTACAACCTCAGTCCTGGGTCTACAGCCTCAGTCCTGGGTCTACAGCCTCAGTCCTGGGTCTACAGCCTCAGTCCTGGGTCTACAGCCTCAGTCCTGGGTCTACAAGCCTCAGTCCTGGGTCTACAACCTCAGTCCTGGGTCTACAGCCTCAGTCCTGGGTCTACAACCTCAGTCCTGGGTCTACAACCTCAGTCCTGGGTCTACAACCTCAGTCCTGGGTCTACAGCCTCAGTCCTGGGTCTACAGCCTCAGTCCTGGGTCTACAACCTCAGTCCTGGGTCTACAGCCTCAGTCCTGGATCTACAGCCTCAGTCCTGGGTCTACAGCCTCAGTCCTGGGTCTACAGCCTCAGTCCTGGGTCTACAGTCTCAGTCCTGGGTCTACAACCTCAGTCCTGGGTCTACAGCCTCAGTCCTGGGTCTACATCCTCAGTCCTGGGTCTACAACCTCAGTCCTGGGTCTACAGCCTCAGTCCTGGGTCTACAACCTCAGTCCTGGGTCTACAGCCTCAGTCCTGGGTCTACAACCTCAGTCCTGGGTCTACAGCCTCAGTCCTGGATCTACTACAGCCTCAGTCCTGGGTCTACAGCCTCAGTCCTGGGTCTATACAGCCTCAGTCCTGGGTCTACAGCCTCAGTCCTGGGTCTACAGCCTCAGTCTTGGGTCTACAGCCTCAGTCCAGCCTCAGTCCTGGGTCTACAGCCTCAGTCCTGGGTCTAGAGCCTCAGTCCTGGGTCTACAGCCTCAGTCCAGGGTCTACAGCCTCAGTCCTTGGTCTACAGCCTCAGTCCTGGGTCTACAGCCTCAGTCCTGGGTCTACAGCCTCAGTCCTGGGTCCAGACTCTAGTCTAGAGAAAGACCACAGAGAGACCAGAGAGAGAGACTACAGAGATCCTGGTGTGTGTAAAGCCTGGTTCACACGGCAGGATATTTAGGCCGATTTAGACCCGATTTACCCCTTACGACAATCTTAAGAAACGCTCCGATTTCCGTAACAAAATCTTACAGATTATCCTGCCGTGTGTGGTGTGTTAAGACTGCACTCGTCGTTCGGAAGGACATCGGGAGCAGATCTCAAATCGGGGATATCCAACATGTTGGATTGTTTTGGCCCGATTTCTCTTCGTGTGTGGTGTCCCCCGAGGACAGACGTGCGCGTTGCCATGACTGCGGCGTGTAGCCAATCAGAAGACGAGACGAGGCGGTGAGGAAACGCCTCCATATCACGATGTAGCAAGTATAGTCCATGCTCGTGTCGTCTACACTTCTTTGACCATCACCTTTTCTTTTGATTACGTCTTTTCTCAGATAAAAAAACAAACTATCGCCAATGCATCCTCTTCGTCCGCACATGTGTGTTTACTCTGAAGTCACGCTTGATCTCGCGAGACCTGAGAGATCTGTGAATACTCGGGGGGGGGGGGGGGGGGGGGGGGGGGGTGTAGTTTGTGTAATTTTTGCCGTGTGGCTGCGCACCACACGCTGTACGACCAAAGTGGTTAGACCCGTGATTTTTCATCTCCCTGTGTTGGGGTCTCACACAGAGAAAGATCGGCCGACAATTTTAAAATCGTCTCGTGTGAACCAGGCTTAAAACAGACTGTAATGAACCCAGAGGGACTGGTTCGTGGCCTTTGCTCTCGGCGCTGCTTCATTATGATGTAAAGTGTTTGCAGAGTTTGCTGAGGTCACAGACTCTCCACAGACTGTTCTCTGCTGGTTCTGTCTGTACTTTTTAATAACATTAGATTACAGAGGGTCGAAGAGCGCGGGACAGACCTGTGGTTACAATCAGCGTTTCTGTCTCAACGATGACATCACAGGGATCAAAGAGAGAGAGGCATACAGGGATCAAGAGTTTCAAGGTTCCAGCTCGACTGCACGGCATTGTGGGTAGTCTTCTCAAAAAAGTGGGCATGAAATCACGCTCTCCAATGAGATTACCTGTTGTGAGCGTGATCTGTCTCTCTTGTTTCCAGTCCATCGATCGTTTTAATCGCTTCAAAAATCACCAATTTCAGACATTTAGAAGGTAAAGTTAAGATTTTTTCATGCAACAAAAAAGCAATGCATTTATTTCTTGTGGTTTTAGATGTAAACACAACCGACTGACTAGAGCTACTAGGATCGAATACTTACACGAGCTTTATAAACTTAAGCTGTACTTTGGACATAGAGCGTTTCATTAACTTATAAATAACATTTGTGATCAGAGCATTCAGAGTGGGGACATTATTAAGAACAAACAGTGAGCTGGCAGTAAAGAGAGGTGTGCAGTATAGAGAGGTGTGCAGTAAAGAGAGGTGTGCAGTATAGAGAGGTGTGCAGTAAAGAGAGGTGTGCAGTATAGAGAGGTGTGCAGTAAAGAGAGGTGGGCAGTATAGAGAGGTGTGCAGTACAGAGAGGTTTGCAGTACAGAGAGGTTTGCAGTATAGAGAGGTGTGCAGTACAGAGAGGTTTGCAGTATAGAGAGGTTTGCAGTACAGAGAGGTTTGCAGTATAGAGAGGTGTGCAGTACAGAGAGGTTTGCAGTATAGAGAGGTTTGCAGTATAGAGAGGTGTAGTACAGAGAGGTGTGCAGTATAGACAGGTGTAGTACAGAGAGGTGTACAGTATAGAGAGGTGTGCCGTACAGAGAGGTGTGCAGTATAGAGAGGTGTGCAGTACAGAGAGGTGTGCAGTATAGAGAGGTGTGCAGTACAGAGAGGTGTGCCGTACAGAGAGGTGTGCAGTATAGAGAGGTGTGCAGTACAGAGAGGTGTGCAGTATAGAGAGGTGTGCAGTATAGAGAGGTGTGCAGTAAAGATAGGTGTGCAGTATAGAGAGGTGTGCAGTACAGAGAGGTTTGCAGTAAAGAGAGGTGTGCAGTATAGAGAGGTGTGCAGTACAGAGAGGTTTGCAGTACAGAGAGGTTTGCAGTACAGAGAGGTTTGCAGTATGGAGAGGTGTACAGTATAGAGAGGTGTAGTATAGAGAGGTGCAGCATAGAGAGGTGTGCAGTATAGAGAGGTGTGCAGTATAGAGAGGTGTACAGTATAGAGAGGTGTGCCGTACAGAGAGGTGTGCAGTATAGAGAGGTGTGCAGTATAGAGAGGTGTGCAGTATAGAGAGGTGTAGTACAGAGAGGTGTGCAGTATAGACAGGTGTAGTACAGAGAGGTGTACAGTATAGAGAGGTGTGCCGTACAGAGAGGTGTGCAGTATAGAGAGGTGTGCAGTATAGACAGGTGTAGTACAGAGAGGTGTGCAGTATAGAGAGGTGTGCAGTATAGAGAGGTGTAGTATAGAGAGGTGCAGTATAGAGAGGTGCAGTATAGAGAGGTGTGCAGTATAGAGAGGTGTGCAGTATAGAGAGGTGTGCCGTATAGAGAGGTGCCGTACAGAGAGGTGTGCCGTATAGAGAGGTGTGCAGTATAGAGAGGTGCCGTACAGAGAGGTGTGCCGTACAGAGAGGTGCTTCAGTGTTAGCCTGTCCATACAGCTGACAGTACTGCCTCTGGTGTCGTCACTGAGGTCAGTCCTGATGACGTGCTCCAGGTGTTTGACCTTCTACACTTTCAGACGCTCCACAAATGTCCACAGTGCAGCTAGAGTTTATAAAGCTCGTGAAAGCTTAATGAGGAGACCATTAAGAGACACAGATGCCTCTCATGGTCACTCTCTGATCTCTCTCTCTGCTCTCTCTCTCTCTCTGCTCTCTCTCTCTCTGCTCACTCTCTCTCTGCTCTCTCTCTCTCTGCTCTCTCTCTCTCTCTGCTCTCTCTCTCTCTGCTCTCTCTCTCTCTCTGCTCACTCTCTCTCTCTGCTCTCACTCTCTCTGCTCTCTCTCTCTCTCTGCTCTCTCTCTCTCTTCTCACTCTCTCTCTGCTCTCTCTCTCTCTCTCCTCTCACTCTCTCTCTCTCTCTCTCTGCTCTCTCTCTCTCTGCTCTCTCTCTCTCTGCTCACTCTCTCTCTGCTCACTCTCTCTCTGCTCTCTCTCTCTGCTCTCTCTCTCTCTGCTCTCTCTCTCTCTGCTCTCTCTCTCTCTGCTCTCTCTGCTCACTCTCTCTCTGCTCTCTCTCTCTCTGCTCTCTCTCTCTCCGCTCACTCTCTCCCCACTCTCTCTCTCTCTGCTCACTCTCTCTCTGCTCACTCTCTCTCTGCTCACTCTCTCCCCACTCTCTCTCTCTCTGCTCACTCTCTCTCTGCTCACTCTCTCCCCACTCTCTCTCTCTCTGCTCACTCTCTCTCTGCTCACTCTCTCCCCACTCTCTCTCTCTCTGCTCTCTCTCTCTCTGCTCGCTCACTCCCTGGCCTCTCTCTGGTCTCTGTTCTCACTTACTAGTCACTCGTTCTGGTCTCTGTCTCTAGTCTCTCTACTCTCCCTCTGGTCTCTCTGTCTTTCTTTCAAATTCATGTTTTCTCTCTCTCTAGTGCAGGGGTCGGCAACCCGCGGCTCCGGAGCCGCATGCGGCTCTTGAGTGCTCCTGGAGTGGCTCCTCGAGCCTTTTCAAACATGTCTGAAAATGGAGTGTGAGGGCTATATTTTATTTCTAGTTTGAATGTGGTTTCTGTAGAAGGAAAAACAATCTTTACGTTTTTAAATGCTGTAAAAATGTGTATAAGTAATATTTAATTTCAACATTTCTGTCAACGTAGTGCGTCATATCCTATGACGCGCGGTCACGCGGCCCCGCCCCATGCGGCCGCTGCTGTAAACAAACCGGCGTGTGTGCATCATAGACTGTAAGTGCACATGGATCCCAAAGCTAAAACGAGAAAGAGTCGATAACAAGACTGGACTAAGAATGAGAATGAACATTTTCTTTCAGTCAATGAGGAAGGACTGCTTCATGTTTGTAATGAAAAGTTTTGTTGCAACACGAGGAACAATGACGCGCAAAACGACGTAAACGGTGATTACGTGAAGGATTCATTCATCAAAAATTCAGAGCACCTATTTTCAGACTTCAAAACCTTCTCAAAGACTGTGAAAGAAAAGGCCATTAAGGACATTCAGCTCCAGCAAACTTCAGCCTGTGACGTGATGGATATGAGCAGACAGTGATGCAGGTGTGTGACCTCTGAGCCCAAAGCAGATTTATTTTTCTGTATTTCTACAATTGCATGAAGGCAAAAAAATGGAAGTTAAACTAAAGCAGAGTCGTCACGTGTTGCGTCATTCACTACACGCTGCAGTGAAAATACACATTTGATAAACATGAATGATTATTATGTATTTGTAGCCTTTACTTTGTCATTTAGATATTAGGCTAATATAGCCAATACATCTTGCAGCTTGTGTTACCTTCATAAAAGCCTTATACAAGGCTGTTATTTTTTTGCGGCTCCAGACAGATGTTGTTTTTAGGTTTTTTTTGTCAATTATGGCTCTTTGAACATTTTGGGTTCCCGACCCCTGCTCTAGTGCCTCTAATCTCTCTCTAGTCTTTCTGAAGTTGTCCTGACCCTTAACTTCGTCTCGTGGCGAATAATCGACACAGGTCCAAACAACACGCCAAAGGGCCAAAGTCCATGCACACACACATATTTTAAAGTCAAAAAAGTAAAGTTTAAGCTCAGAATGAGATCAGAAACAGTGGGGCAGGAGATGGAGTTTGAGCAGCAGAGTATGTGACAAAACCAGGCCTGGATCAAGTTGTTTTTCTGAACTTTTAACAATAAAAAATGAGGAATGTCTCTACTGCTCACATCCACAACCATCAACTTAACAATAACAAGATCTCAGCCTCAACTCGGACCATAAACAGCTGCTCTGCAGCGGGACAGAGACCAGGGATCACCAGGAGTCTGGGATCAGGAAGGGTCTGAGAGGAGGGGCCTCTGCACAGAGTTGCACAAGACCGGAAAGTGAAAGTAAGTGCGCCTCTGCTCCGGGGGAAGATCAGGAAGTCACTCTCTGAGCCTCAGACACGACCACAACCTGCCGTGAGTAAAATACAGCTCATGTCTGAGGAGAAAGATAAGATTTATGTTGTTTGGAGGTTTTAGGGAAAGGAAGAATGTCTCTATAAGGATTCGTTCTAGTCTCTCTGGTCTACATCTGGTCTCTCTCTGGTCTCTCACTCTGGTCTCTCTCTGGTCTCTCTCTGGTGTCTCTCTGGTCTACATCTGGTCTCTCTCTGGTCTCTCTCTGTTCTCTCTCTCTGGTCTCTCTCTGGTGTCTCTCTGGTCTCTCTCTCTGGTCTCTCTCTGGTCTCTCTCTGGTCTCTCTCTGGTCTCTCTCTGGTCTACATCTGGTCTCTCTCTGGTCTCTCTCTGGTCTCTCTCTGGTCTCTCTCTGGTCTCTCTCTGGTCTCTCTCTGGTCTCTCTCTGGTCTCTCTCTGGTCTCTCTCTGGTCTCTCTCTGGTCTCTCTCTGGTCTCTCTGGTCTCTCTCTCTGGTCTCTCTCTGGTCTCTCTCTCTGGTCTCTCTGGTCTCTCTCTCTGGTCTCTCTCTGGTCTCTCTGGTCTCTCTCTCTGGTCTCTCTCTGGTCTCTCTCTGGTCTCTCTCTGGTCTCTCTCTGGTCTCTCTGGTCTCTCTCTCTGGTCTCTCTTTGCTCTCTCTCTGGTCTCTCTCTGGTCTCTCTCAGGTCTCTCTTTAGTCTCTCTCTAATCTCTCTCTGGTCTCTCTCTGGTCTCTCTCTGGTCTCTCTCTGGTCTCTGTCTGAGAACAGTTCCACAGTAACATATGACGAATGACACAGGAATGTAGTTGATCCTCACAAGGACTGTACACAGACGGACGATGCTAACCCGCTAGCTCAATAAGGGATATTAGGGAAGTGCTCATGGACAAAGTTTTGCTCCAACTCTCTCTGCCTCCTATTGACTCACATGTAAAAGTAAACTCCTCTGGCTCAGTAATTGTTTGTGTCACGCTCACCATTTTGGGCCTAAATCTGTGGTTTATCGTGATACAAGGATTGAAGCTAAGCAGGCCCTTTGTAAAGTCCTCAGGGATTTAGGGCTGTCCAGAAATACATTTATATGAAAAGAATACACCAGAGAGAGAGACCAGAGAGAGAGACCAGAGGGAGACCAGAGAGAGAGACCAGAGAGAGAGACCAGAGGGAGACCAGAGAGAGACTAGAGAGAGACCAGAGAGAGACCAGAGAGAGACCAGAGAGAGACCAGAGAGAGACCAGAGAGAGAGACCAGAGAGACCAGAGAGAGACCAGAGAGAGACCAGAGAGAGACCAGAGAGAGAGACCAGAGAGACCAGAGAGAGACCAGAGAGAGAGACCAGAGAGACCAGAGAGAGAGACCAGAGAGAGACCAGAGAGAGAGACCAGAGAGACCAGAGAGAGACCAGAGAGAGAGACCAGAGAGACCAGAGAGAGAGACCAGAGAGAGACCAGAGAGAGACCAGAGAGAGAGACCAGAGAGACCAGAGACAGAGACCAGAGAGAGAGACCAGAGAGAGAGACCAGAGAGAGAGACCAGAGAGAGACCAGCGAGAGAGACCAGAGAGAGACCAGAGAGACCAGAGAGAGACTAGAGAGAGACTAGAGAGAGACCAGAGACAGAGACCAGAGACAGAGACCAGAGAGAGAGACCAGAGAGAGAGACCAGAGAGAGAGAGAGACCAGAGAGAGACCAGAGAGGGACCAGAGAGAGACCAGAGAGGGACCAAAGAGAGAGACCAGAGAGAGACCAGAGAGGGACCAGAGAGGGACCAGAGAGAGACCAGAGAGAGAGAGACCAGAGAGAGAGAGACCAGAGAGAGACCAGCGAGAGAGACCAGAGAGAGACCAGAGAGGGACCAGAGAGAGACCAGCGAGAGAGACCAGAGAGAGACCAGAGAGGGACCAGAGAGGGACCAGAGAGAGACCAGAGAGAGAGAGACCAGAGAGAGAGAGACCAGAGAGAGACCAGCGAGAGAGACCAGAGAGAGACCAGAGAGGGACCAGAGAGAGACCAGCGAGAGAGACCAGAGAGAGACCAGAGAGAGACCAGAGAGAGACCAGAGAGAGACCAGAGAGAGAGAGACCAGAGAGACCAGAGAGAGACCAGAGAGGGACCAGAGAGAGACCAGCGAGAGAGACCAGAGAGAGACCAGAGAGAGACCAGATATTGTGGCCTGAGACACTGTTTACTTCTATCTTGTTTGCACCATGAGCCAAAGCAGGCTCCTTGTTAGTGACTTCCTGTTATTTACAATATGAATGAAAAGACTTGTGGTTCTGAATCCTCCTCCTCCTCCTCCTCCTCCTCCTCCTCCTCCTCCTCCTCCTCCTCCTCCTCCACCTCCTCCTCTCCTCCTGCAGCCATGGCCTCTCTGTGGGTCCCGGAGGAGCAGTTGCAGTGCTCCATCTGCCTGGAGCTCTTCTCAGACCCGGTCACGACCCCATGTGGACACAGCTTCTGCAGACTGTGCCTCAGCCGCCACTGGGACCAGAGCCTCCAGTGTCTCTGTCCGCTCTGCAACCAGGACTGTCGCTCCAGACCCCCGCTCCACCTCAACGTGGTCCTGTCCCACATGGTCTCCCAGTGCCGCGGGGGGGACCACAGGGAGAGGGAGGAGGGGGGAGGGAAGGGGGAGGGTCCGGGCTGGGTCCCTCCCCCTTCCTTCACACCTGGAGTGAAGGGTGTGGGTCCAGGCTGGGTCCAGGCGGGAGGGACTGGACCGAGGGGGTTTGTCTACGAGCTGCCTCCAGGTTAGACAATGAAATGTCTTTTTGTATATCCCTAAATCTCCCTCTGGTCTCCCTCTGGTCTCCCTCTGGTCTCCCTCTGGTCTCCCTCTGGTCTCCCTCTGGTCTCCCTCTGGTCTCCCTCTGGTCTCTCTCTGGTCTCCCTCTGGTCTCCCTCTGGTCTCTCTCTGGTCTCCCTCTGGTCTCTCTCTGGTCTCCCTCTGGTCTCCCTCTGGTCTCCCTCTGGTCTCTCTCTGGTCTCCCTCTGGTCTCCCTCTGGTCTCCCTCTGGTCTCTCTCTCGTCTCCCTGTGGTCTCTCTGATCTCTCCCTGGTCTCTCTCTGGTCTCTCCCTCTGGTCTTCTTCGGTCTCTCTCTGGTCTCCTTCGGTCTCCCTCTGTTATCCCTCTTGTCTCCCTCTTGTCTCCTTCGGTCTCCCTCTGGTCTCTAATGTCTATAGCATTGTCCCTCTGTGCACAGTCTATGGTTGGTCCCTTGTCCCAGTCTCACTTCCCCTCTGTGTGTCCAGGTGAGCTGGCTCCGGTCGGGCAGGGTCCGGTCAAGGGTCCGGTCCCGCCGCAGGTGCAGAACCCAGGGGCCACTCTGGGGAAGCTGCTCTTCGTCGTGGCCTTCATCACAGCCCTCGTCATCATCATCCACACCTGCATCTCTCTCACCAGATGAGAGAGTCTGTGTTTTATAAGAACAAATATGATGCTTTATTTTTGTCCATTTCAAATCCAAAGTTTTGGTTTGTGTTGTGTTTTGTGGTCCTCGTTCCTACTGTTACCTGCATGGCAACACTGGAATTTCCCCAACGTGGACCAAAGGATTTGTGTCTGTTTCTTGCCTTCAGAGATAATGTGTTTCACAGTTTATTTTTGTAATATTAGTCTAATAAAGTCATTACTATCAAACTGATTCTATGGTTAGTGTGGGAGAGAAAGAGAGACCAGAGAGAGAGACCAGAGAGAGAGGAGAGGGAGAGAGGCCAGAGAGAGAGACCAGAGAGAGAGACCAGAGAGAGAGGAGAGGGAGAGAGGCCAGAGAGAGAGACCAGAGAGAGAGACCAGAGAGAGAGGAGAGGGAGAGAGGCCAGAGAGAGAGACCAGAGAGAGAGACCAGAGAGAGAGGAGAGGGAGAGAGGCCAGAGAGAGAGACCAGAGAGAGAGGAGAGAAAGAGAGGCCAGAGAGAGAGACCAGAGAGAGAGACCAGAGAGAGAGGAGAGGGAGAGAGGCCAGAGAGAGTCCAGAGAGAGAGACCAGAGAGAGAGGAGAGAAAGAGAGGCCAGAGAGAGAGACCAGAGAGAGAGGAGAGAAAGAGAGGCCAGAGAGAGAGGAGAGGGAGAGAGGCCAGAGAGAGAGACCAGAGAGAGACCAGAGAGAGAGGAGAGAAAGAGAGGCCAGAGAGAGAGGAGAGGGAGAGAGGCCAGAGAGAGATTAGGGTGAGACCAGAGAGAGACCAGAGAGAGACCATAGGATACCAGAGAGAGACTAAAGAAAAAAACCAGAGAGAGACCGCAGCAAGAGACCAGAGAGAGAGAGACAATAGAGAGACCACAGAGACCATAGAGAGAGAGACCACAGAGACCATAGAGACCATAGAGAGAGAGACGATAGAGAGACCACAGAGACCATAGAGAGAGAGACGATAGAGAGACCACAGAGACCATAGAGAGAGAGACGATAGAGAGACCACAGAGACCATAGAGAGAGAGACGATAGAGAGACCACAGAGACCATAGAGAGAGAGACCATAGAGAGACCACAGAGACCATAGAGAGAGAGACAAGAGAGAGACCACAGAGACCATAGAGAGAGAGACCACAGAGACCATAGAGAGAGAGACCAGAGAGAGAGACCAGAGAGAGACCATAGAGAGAGAGACCACAGAGACCATAGAAATAGAGACGATAGAGAGACCACAGAGACCATAGAGAGAGAGACCAGAGAGAGACCATAGAGAGAGAGACGATAGAGAGACCACAGAGACCATAGAGAGAGACGATAGAGAGACCACAGAGACCATAGAGAGAGACGATAGAGAGACCACAGAGACCATAGAGAGAGACGATAGAGAGACCACAGACCATAGAGAGAGAGACCATAGAGAGAGAGAGACGATAGAGAGACCACAGAGACCATAGAGAGAGAGACAATAGAGAGACCACAGAGACCATAGAGAGAGAGACCATAGAGAGAGAGACGATAGAGAGACCATAGAGAGAGAGACGATAGAGAAACCACAGAGACCATAGAGAGAGAGACGATAGAGAGACCACAGAGACCATAGAGAGAGAGACCACAGAGACCATAGAGAGAGAGACGATAGAGAGACCACAGAGACCATAGAGAGAGAGACGATAGAGAGACCACAGAGACCATAGAGAGAGAGACCACAGAGACCATAGAGAGAGAGACGATAGAGAGACCACAGACACCATAGAGAGAGAGACCATAGAGAGACCAGAGAGACCAGAGGGAGAGAGGCCAGAGAGAGACGATAGAGAGACCACAGAGACCACAGAGAGAGACCAGAGAGAGACCACAGAGAGAGACCACACAGAGAGTAAGACCAGAAAGAGAGACCACACAGAGAGAGAGACCAGAAAGAGAGACCACACAGAGAGAGAGACCACCACAGAGAGAGAGACCAGAAAGAGAGACCACACACAGAGAGAGACCAGAAAGAGAGACCACACAGAGAGAGAGACCAGAAAGAGAGACCACACAGAGAGAGAGACCAGAAAGAGAGACCAGAAAGAGAGACCACACAGAGAGAGAGACCAGAGAGAGAGTCCAGAGAGAGAGACCAGAGAGAGAGGAGAGAAAGAGAGGCCAGAGAGAGAGGAGAGAGAGAGAGGCCAGAGAGAGAGGCCAGAGAGAGAGACCAGAGAGAGAGGCCAGAGAGAGAGAGACCAGAGAGAGACCAGAGAGAGAGAGAGAGAGAGACCAGAGAGAGAGAGAGAGACAAGAGAGAGCCAGAGAGAGATTAGGGTGAGACCAGAGAGAGACCAGAGAGAGACCATAGGATACCAGAGAGAGACTAAAGAAAAAGACCAGAGAGAGACCGCAGCAAGAGACCAGAGAGAGAGAGACCATAGAGAGACCACAGAGACCATAGAGAGAGAGACCACAGAGACCATAGAGACCATAGAGAGAGAGACGATAGAGAGACCACAGAGACCATAGAGAGAGAGAGACGATAGAGAGACCACAGAGACCATAGAGAGAGAGAGACGATAGAGAGACCACAGAGACCATAGAGAGAGAGACCATAGAGAGAGAGACGATAGAGAGACCAGAAGAGACCATAGAGAGAGAGACAATAGAGAGACCACAGAGACCATAGAGAGAGAGAGACCCACAGAGACCATAGAGAGAGAGAGAGAGATAGAGAGAGACCACAGAGACCATAGAGAGAGAGACCACAGAGACCATAGAAAGAGAGACGATAGAGAGACCACAGAGACCATAGAGAGAGAGACCACACGAGAGACCAGAGAGAGAGACCAGAGAGAGACCAGAGAGAGACCAGAGAGAGAGACCAGAGAGAGACCAGAGAGAGAGACCAGAGAGAGACCAGAGAGAGACCAGAGAGAGAGACCAGAGAGAGACCAGAGAGAGACCAGAGAGAGACCACAGAGAGACCAGAGAGAGACCAGAGAGAGAGACCAGAGAGAGAGACCAGAGAGAGACCAGAGAGAGACCAGAGAGAGAGACCAGAGAGAGACCAGAGAGAGACCAGAGAGAGACCAGAGAGAGACCAGAGAGAGACCAGAGAGAGACCAGAGAGAGAGACCAGAGAGAGACCCAGAGAGAGAGACCAGAGAGAGAGAGAGTGAGACCAGAGAGAGAGACCAGAGAGAGAGACCAGAGAGAGACCAGAGAGAGACCAGAGAGAGACCAGAGAGAGACCAGAGAGAGACCAAGAGAACAGACCAGAGAGAGACCAGAGAGAGACCAGAGACCATAGAGAGACCAGAGAGAGACCAGAGAGAGAGACCAGAGAGAGACCAAGAGAGAGACCAGAGAGAGAGACCAGAGAGAGACCAGAGAGAGACCAGAGAGAGACCAGAGAGAGACCAGAGAGAGACCCAGAGAGAGAGACCAGAGAGAGAGACCAGAGAGAGACCAGAGAGAGACCCAGAGAGAGACCAGAAGAGAGAGACCAGAGAGAGACCAGAGAGAGACCAGAGAGAGAGACCAGAGAGAGAGACCAGAGAGAGAGACCAGAGAGAGAGACCAGAGAGAGAGACCAGAGAGAGAGACCAGAGAGAGAGACCAGAGAGAGACCAGAGAGAGACCAGAGAGAGACCAGAGAGAGACCAGAGAGAGACCAGAGAGAGACCAGAGAGAGACCAGAGAGAGAGACCAGAGAGAGACCAGAGAGAGACCCGAGAGAGAGAGACCAGAGAGAGACCAGAGAGAGAGACCAGAGAGACCAGACCAGAGAGAGACCAGAGAGAGACCAGAGAGAGAGACCAGAGAGAGACCAGAGAGAGAGACCAGAGAGAGAGACCAGAGAGAGACCAAGAGAGAGACCAGAGAGAGACCAGAGAGAGAGACCAGAGAGAGAGAGAGACCAGAGAGAGAGAGACCAGAGAGAGAGACCAGAGAGAGACCAGAGAGAGAGACCAGAGAGAGAACCAGAGAGAGAGACCAGAGAGAGACCAGCAGAGAGACCAGAGAGAGAAGACCAGAGAGAGAGAGAGAGAACCAGAGAGACCCAGAAGAGAGACCAGAGAGAGAGACCAGAGAGAGACCAGAGAGAGAGACCAGAGAGAGAGACCAGAGAGAGACCAGAGAGAGACCAGAGAGAGACCAGAGAGAGACCAGAGAGAGACCAGAGAGAGAGACCAGAGAGAGACCAGAGAGAGAGACCAGAGAGAGACCAGAGAAGACCAGAGATAGACCAGAGAGAGAGACCAGAGAGAGAGACCAGAGAGACCAGAGAGAGACCAGAGAGAGACCAGAGAGAGAGACCAGAGAGAGACCAGAGAGAGAGACCACACAGAGAGAGAGACCAGAAAGAGAGACCAGAAAGAGAGACCACACAGAGAGAGAGACCAGAAAGAGAGACCACACAGAGAGAGAGAGGTACAGTAAGTGCCTGTGGAACGGTGAAGCAGCAGATTTCAGTTGTGTTTTATTTCATCACATCAAAGAGCACGATGTCATCAATCGTTCAACACGCTGCAGAAGCCGCACTCTTCTCCCCGTGTGTCTCTGAGCGCCGCCTTCTCATGAATTTACCGTTACAGAACCATTAGGCAGGCGGGAGTGATGCATGATGGGAAGAAACTGTCCTGAGCGGGAAATAATGAAGCGCGGGGTATGGCGGCGGGCGGCGGGCGTCTGTGTGTCGCAGATAACACACAAGATGGGTTTAAAGAGACAGTACGACACGTTTATACTCGAGATTATACAAAGATTATACAGAGTTTATACAAAGATTATACAGAGATTGTACTGAGATTATACAAAGATTATACAGAGAGAGATTATACAAAGATTATACAGAGAGAGATTATACAAAGATTATACAGAGAGAGATTATACAAAGATTATACAAAGATTATACAGAGATTATACAGAGATTATACAGAGATTGTACTGAGATTATACAGAGTTTATACAGAGATTATATAGAGTTTATACAGAGATTATACAGAGATTGTACTGAGATTATACAAAGATTATACAGAGAGAGATTATACAAAGATTATACAAAGATTATACAGAGATTATACAGAGATTATACAGAGATTTTACTGAGATTATACAGAGTTTATACAAAGATTATACAGAGATTATACAGCGATTATACAGAGATTGTACTGAGATTATACAGAGTTTATACAGAGATTATATAGAGTTTATACAGAGATTATACAGAGATTGTACTGAGATTATACAGAGTTTATACACATTAATTTAAGTTATTCCAATATTATTTTTCAGATATTATTCCAAACTAGTGTTTTTATTGTGTTTTTAGGCCAAAAACAAGACGTGATATTTCTACTTTAAACTTTTCTTCAGGTTAACCTTGTCGCTGCGGCAACCTCAGCAGATGTCACATTCACACACACTGTAATCTCTCACTGTCTACACACAGATACACAAATACATACATACACACACTCTCACACACACACCCACACACACACACAGACAGACAGACAGACAGACAGACAGACACACACACACAGAGACAGACACACAGACAGACACACACACAGAAAGACACAGAGACAGACACACACAGAGAGACAGACACACACACACACACAGAGACAGACACACACACACACAGACACACACATACACAGATTCCATATGATTGCACATGAATTAGATTGGATTTACTGAGATCTAATGTAGATTATGGCTGAGGAAATAAACTACTACTGTCTACTCTCCCACAGACTCCACAGACTCCACAGACTCCACAGACTCCACAGACTCCACAGACTCCACGGACCCCACAGACTCCACAGACCCCACAGACCCCACAGACCCCACAGACTCCAAAGACTCCACAGACTCCACAGACTCCACAGACTCCACAGACCCCACAGACCCCACAGACTCCACAGACTCCACAGACTCCACAGACCCCACAGACTCCACAGACTCCACAGACTCCACAGACTCCACAGACTCCACAGACTCCACAGACCCCACAGACTCCACAGACCCCACAGACTCCACAGACCCCACAGACTCCACAGACTCCACAGACCCCACAGACTCCACAGACTCCACAGACTCCACAGACTCCACAGACCCCACAGACTCCACAGACCCCACAGACTCCACAGACTCCACAGACCCCACAGACTCCACAGACCCCACAAACCCCACAGACCCCACAGACTCCAAAGACTCCACAGACTCCACAGACTCCACAGACTCCACAGACCCCACAGACCCCACAGACTCCACAGACTCCACAGACTCCACAGACCCCACAGACTCCACAGACTCCACAGACTCCACAGACTCCACAGACTCCACAGACTCCACAGACCCCACAGACTCCACAGACCCCACAGACTCCACAGACCCCACAGACTCCACAGACTCCACAGACCCCACAGACTCCACAGACTCCACAGACTCCACAGACTCCACAGACCCCACAGACTCCACAGACCCCACAGACTCCACAGACTCCACAGACCCCACAGACTCCACAGACTCCACAGACCCCACAGACCCACAGACTCCAAGACTCCACAGACTCCACAGACTCCACAGACTCCACAGACTCCACAGACTCCACAGACTCCACAGACTCCACAGACTCCACAGACTCCACAGACCCCACAGACTCCACAGACCCCACAGACCCCACAGACCCCACAGACTCCACAGACTCCACAGACTCCACAGACCCCACAGACCCCACAGACCCCACAGACTCCACAGACCCCACAGACTCCACAGACCCCACAGACTCCACAGACTCCACAGACCCCACAGACTCCACAGACTCCACAGACCCCACAGATCCCACAGACCCCACAGACCCCACAGACTCCACAGACCCCACAGACCCCACAGACCCCACAGACCCCACAGACCCCACAGACTCCACAGACTCCACAGACCCCACAGACCCCACAGACTCCACAGACCCACAGACCCACAGACACAGACCCCACAGACCCACAGACCCCACAGACTCCACAGACTCCACAGACCCCACAGACCCCACAGACCCCACAGACCCCACAGACTCCACAGACTCCACAGACTCCCACAGACCCCACAGACCCCACAGACTCCACAGACCCCACAGACTCCACAGACTCCACAGACCCCACAGACTCCACAGACCCACAGACCCCACAGACCCACAGACCCCACAGACCCCACAGACCCCACAGACCCCACAGACCCACACAGACCCACACTCCACAGACCCCACAGACCCCACAGACCCCACAGACTCCACAGACCCCCACAGACCCCACAGACCCCACAGACCCCACAGACCCCACAGACTCCACACAGACCCCACAGACTCCCACAGACCCCACAGACTCCACAGACCCACAGACCCCACAGACCCCACAGACCCCACAGACCCCACAGACTCCACAGACCCCACAGACCCCACAGACCCACAGACCCCACAGACCCCACAGACTCCACAGACCCCACAGACTCCACAGACCCCACAGACCACAGACTCCACAGACCCCACAGACCCCACAGACTCCACAGACCCACAGACCCCACAGACCCCACAGACCCCACAGACCCCACAGACTCCACAGACTCCACAGACCCCACAGACTCCACAGACCCCACAGACTCCCACAGACCCCACAGACTCCCACAGACTCCACACAGACCCCACAGACCCCACAGACTCCCACAGACCCACAGACTCCACAGACCCCACAGACCCACAGACCCACAGACCCACAGACCCCACAGACCCCACAGACTCCAACAGACCCACAGACTCCACAGACCCCACAGACACCACAGACCCCACAGACTCAGACTCCACAGACTCCACAGACTCCACAGACTCCACAGACTCCACAGACCCCACAGACCCCACAGACCCCACAGACCCACAGACCCCACAGACTCCACAGACACCCACAGACTCCACAGACCCCACAGACTCCACAGACCCCACAGACTCCACAGACCCCACAGACCCCACAGACCCCACAGACTCCACAGACCCCACAGACTCCCACAGACCCCACAGACTCCACAGACCCCACAGACTCCACAGACCCCACAGACTCCACAGACTCCACAGACTCCACAGACCCCACAGACCCACAGACTCAGACCCACAGACTCCACAGACCCCACAGACCCCACAGACACCCACAGACTCCACAGACCCCACAGACTCCACAGACCCCACAGACTCCACAGACCCCCCACAGACCCCACAGACCCCACAGACTCCACAGACTCCACAGACCCCACAGACTCCACAGACCCCACAGACTCCACAGACCCCACAGACTCCACAGACCCCACAGACCCCACACCCACGACCCCACAGACTCCACAGACCCCACAGACTCCACAGACCCCACAGACTCCACAGACTCCCACAGACTCCACAGACCCCACAGACTCCACAGACTCCACAGACCCCACAGACCCCACAGACCCCACAGACTCCACAGACCCCACAGACTCCACAGACCCCACAGACTCCACAGACCCCACAGACTCCACAGACCCCACAGACTCCACAGACTCCAAGACACAGACCCCACAGACCCCACAGACTCCACAGACCCCACAGACTCCACAGACCCCACAGACTCCACAGACCCCACAGACTCCACAGACCCCACAGACTCCACAGACCCCACAGACTCCACAGACTCCACAGACCCCACAGACTCCACAGACTCCACAGACTCCACAGACTCCACAGACCCCACAGACTGCACAGACTCCACAGATCCCACAGACCCCACAGACCCCACAGACTCCACAGACTCCACAGACCCCACAGACCCCACAGACCCCACAGACTCCACAGACTCCACAGACCCCACAGACTCCACAGACTCCACAGACTCCACAGACCCCACAGACTCCACAGACCCCACAGACTCCACAGACCCCACAGACCCCACAGACCCCACAGACTCCACAGACCCCACAGACTCCACAGACCCCACAGACTCCACAGACTCCACAGACTCCACAGACCCCACAGACTCCACAGACTCCACAGACCCCACAGACCCCACAGACCCCACAGACTCCACAGACCCCACAGACCCCACAGACTCCACAGACTCCACAGACCCCACAGACCCCACAGACCCCACAGACCCCACAGACCCCACAGACCCCACAGACTCCACAGACTCCACAGACCCCACAGACCCCACAGACCCCACAGACTCCACAGACTCCACAGACCCCACAGACTCCACGGACCCCACAGACCCCACAGACTCCACAGACTCCACAGATCCCACAGACCCCACAGACCCCACAGACTCCACAGACTCCACAGACCCCACAGACCCCACAGACTCCACAGACCCCACAGACTCCACAGACTCCACAGACCCCACAGATCCCACAGACCCCACAGACCCCACAGACCCCACAGACCCCACAGACTCCACAGACTCCACAGACTCCACAGACTCCACAGACTCCACAGACTCCACAGACTCCACAGACCCCACAGACTCCACAGACTCCACAGACCCCACAGACTCCACAGACCCCACAGACTCCACAGACCCCACAGACTCCACAGACTCCACAGACTCCACAGACTCCACAGACCCCACAGACCCCACAGACCCCACAGACCCCACAGACTCCACAGACCCCACAGACTCCACAGACCCCACAGACTCCACAGACTCCACAGACCCCACAGACTCCACAGACTCCACAGACCCCACAGATCCCACAGACCCCACAGACTCCACAGACTCCACAGACTCCACAGACCCCACAGACCCCACAGACTCCACAGACTCCACAGACCCCACAGACCCCACAGACTCCACAGACCCCACAGACTCCACAGACCCCACAGACTCCACAGACCCCACAGACTCCACAGACCCCACAGACTCCACAGACCCCACAGACCCCACAGACTCCAAAGACTCCACAGACTCCACAGACCCCACAGACTCCAAAGACTCCACAGACTCCACAGACCCCACAGACCCCACAGACTCCACAGACCCCACAGACCCCACAGACTCCACAGACTCCACAGACTCCACAGACCCCACAGATCCCACAGACCCCACAGACTCCACAGACTCCACAGACCCCACAGACCCCACAGACTCCACAGACCCCACAGACCCCACAGACCCCACAGACTCCACAGACCCCACAGACTCCACAGACTCCACAGACTCCACAGACCCCACAGACTCCACAGACTCCACAGACCCCACAGACTCCACAGACCCCACAGACCCCACAGACCCCACAGACTCCACAGACCCCACAGACTCCACAGACCCCACAGACCCCACAGACTCCACAGACCCCACAGACCCCACAGACCCCACAGACTCCACAGACTCCACAGACTCCACAGACCCCACAGACCCCACAGACCCCACAGACTCCACAGACTCCACAGACCCCACAGACTCCACAGACTCCACAGACTCCACAGACTCCACAGACCCCACAGACCCCACAGACCCCACAGACTCCACAGACTCCACAGACCCCACAGACCCCACAGACCCCACAGACTCCACAGACTCCACAGACTCCACAGACCCCACAGACTCCACAGACTCCACAGACCCCACAGACCCCACAGACCCCACAGACCCCACAGACTCCACAGACTCCACAGACCCCACAGACTCCACAGACCCCACAGACTCCACAGACCCCACAGACTCACTGCTGCTGCTTTGATCTTTGATGAATGACAGACACAGACGATAGCAGCAGCTCTTTGCTTAATGCATAGATTCGGTTCTTAATGAGCGCCTATAGATCCATATGTTACAACTGACACAGACTGCATCCTCCTTCACAAGAGTCTCCATCTCTCTCTCTCTCTGTCTCTCTTTCTCTCTCTGTCTCTCTCTCTATCTTTCTTTCTCTCTCTCTCTCTCTCTCTTTTTCTCCCTCTCTCTGTCTCTCTCTCTCCGTCTGTCTCTCTCTCGCTCTGTCTGTCCCTCTTTCTCTCTCTCTATATATTTCTTTCTCACTCTCTCTGTCTTTTTCTCCCTCTCTCTCTGTCTGTCCCTCTCTGTCTGTCTCTCTCTCTCTGTCTCTCTCTCTTTCTTTCTCTATCTCTCTTTCTCCCTCTCTCTCTGTCTCTCTCTCTCTCTTTTTCTCCCTCTCTCTGTCTGTCTCTCTCTCTCTTTCTCTCTCTCTCTCTCTCTTTTTCTCCCTCTCTCTGTCTCTATCTCTCTCTCTGTCTCTCTCTTTCTCTCCCTCTCTCTGTCTCTCTCTCTCTGTCTGTCTCTCTCTTTCTCTCCCTCTCTCTGTCTCTCTCTCTCTGTCTGTCTCTCTCTCGCTCTGTCTCTATATTTCTTTCTCTCTCTCTCTGTCTTTTTCTCCCTCTCTCTCTGTCTGTCCCTCTGTCTCTATCTCTCTCTCTGTCTCCCCCCCCCCCCCTCTCTCTCTCGCTCTCTCATTCTCTGTCTCGCTCTCTCTCTCTCCTCATTAGCCTTTCCCAAACATGTGTTTTGTTTATTCTACTTTATGGCTTCGTCTGTTTACTCAAGGTTTATTTTTGGCATTTAATGTATTTGTGTGTAGCTCTAAATCACAACAACAGACACAGATCAGAGAATCAAACATGAACAACAACACACACAAAGAGGCCATCGGTCCAGGACTGAGACTGTAGACCCAGGACTGAGACTGTAGACCCAGGACTGAGGCTGTAGACCCAGGACTGAGGCTGTAGACCCAGGACTGAGGCTGTAGACCCAGGACTGATATTGAAGATCCAGGACAGGATGGTTTCCTCCGGGTGCTCCAGTTTCTGCTACCGCCAAAAACATGTACAATAGGAATGAATGTAATGAGGAAAATGAAGGGGTTGAGATGGTCACTGGCATTGACGGTCCCGCTACAGCTAAAGCTAAAAATATTTTCTAAAAGAGAAAGTATAAGATTATTAAAAAGCGAATTCTACATACTGCAGTGTTAGTTTCTGTGTGCCTGAGTGAGAGCAGGGCACAGGGCGACAGGTGCAGGAGAGAGACCCCCCCCAGAGTGTGTGGTGTGGGAGGGCATCCAGCTCTCTGCCTCCTTCACCACAGTCTGCTGCTTAACTGTGAAAAATGCCTCCATCTGTCCCTGGTCCACTTCAGGGACCAGGGCTGCTCCAACAGGTCGGCCATCTTGGTGTGGTACGACTCTGACCATTACCTCCACAGACCAGAGAGAGAGAGCAGAGAGAGAGCAGAGAGAGAGAGAGCAGAGAGAGAGCAGAGAGAGAGAGCAGAGAGAGAGCAGAGAGAGACTAGAGAGAGACTAGAGAGACCAGAGAGAGACCAGAGAGAGACCAGAGAAAGACCAGAGAGAGACCAGAGAGAGACCAGAACAGGTAGGTACCGGAGGGGGACCAGAGAGACCACAGAGAGACCAGAGAGAGACCAGAGGGAGACAAGAGGGAGACCAGAGAGAGACCAGAGAGAGACCAGAGACAGAGCAGAAAGAGACCAGAGAGGGACTGAAGAGAGACAAGATAGACCGGAGAGAGAACAGAGAAAGAGACCAGAGAGAAACCAGAGAGAGACCAGAGAGAGAGACAAAGTGAGTCCAGAAAGAGACCAGAGAGAGACCAGAGAAAGACTGGAGACACCAGAGAGAGACCAGAGAGAGACCAGAGAAAGACTGCGAAGACACCAGAGAGAGACTGGAAGGACCAGGGAGAGACCAGAGAGAGATTAGAGAGAGACCAGAGAGAGACCAGAGAGAGACCAGTGAGAGATTAGAGAGAGACCAGAGAGAGACCAGAGAGAGACCAGAGAGGGACTGAAGAGAGACAAGATAGACCGGAGAGAGAACAGAGAAAGAGACCAGAGAGAAACCAGAGAGAGACCAGAGAGACCAGAGAGAGACCAGAGAGAGACCAGAGAGAGACCAGAGAGAGACCAGAGAGAGACCAGAGAGAGACCAGAGAGAGATTAGAGAGAGAACCCAGTCCCTTTGCTCTGTGTGTTTGTTGAGTGCATTTCAGTTGAATGATGTTACTCAAGGATTGTTTTTCTGCACATGTGTCACTGTGCCATGCCCCGCGGCACCAGGAGGACATCACCGATCCACTGAGAGCCAGGTGCTCTCCTCCTAATGCGTTCTGTCTTATTCGGCCCAGAGGAAACTAAACCCGAGACCTTCTGGAGCTGAGAGAACGTCCCCGTCCTCGGCATCATTACAGGTTGTGTGTTTTCGACCGGCCTTTCTTTAATTTATCAATATTTTGCTTCTGTTGTTGAGGCTGAGGTGCAGAGAACAGGTCCCTTTTCCTGTTCTCTCTCTCTGGTCTCTCTCTGGTCTCTCTCTGGTCTCTCTCTCTGGTCTCTCTCTGGTCTCTCTCTGGTCTCTCTCTCTGGTCTCTCTCTCTGGTCTCTCTCTCTGGTCTCTCTCTGGTCTCTCTCTCTGGTCTCTCTCTGGTCTCTACATGGTCTCTCCCTGGTCTCTCTCTGGTCTCTCCCTGGTCTCTTTCTCTGGTCTCTCTCTGGTCTCTACATGGTCTCTCCCTGGTCTCTCCCTGGTCTCTCTCCCGCGTCTCTCTCCCTGGTCTCTCCCTGGTCTCTCTCTCTGGTCTCTCCATGGTCTCTCCCTGGTCTCTCTCTCTGGTCTCTCTCTGGTCTCTCCATGGTCTCTCCCTGGTCTCTCTCTCTGGTCTCTCTCTGGTCTCTCCATGGTCTCTCCCTGGTCTCTCTCCCGCGTCTCTCTCTCTGGTCTCTCCCTGGTCTCTCTCTCTGGTCTCTCCATGGTCTCTCCCTGGTCTCTCTCTCTGGTCTCTCTCTGGTCTCTCCATGGTCTCTCCCTGGTCTCTCTCTCTGGTCTCTCTCTGGTCTCTCTCTGGTCTCTCTCTGGTCTCTCCCTAGTCCCCCTCTGCCTGTAATTGTGTGTGATTCTCTGGGATGTGGATTAAACGTTATTGTAATCCTTGTAATCCCGACAGACGGTGATGGCAGCGTCCCAGAGTGAAGAGGCTCCAGCACTAAACACTGGCCTCACACGGCTCCCAGGGACCAGCAGGGACCAGCGGTGATGTCACATCACAATCAGGCTCAACGTGAGAAGTTTGAGAGAAAGTTTGTTCTCGAAGGATAAGTAAGTCGTGTTTTGGAGAAAGACCAGAAAGAGAGACCAGAGAGAGACCAGAGAGAGACCAGAGAGAGACCAGAGAGAGACCAGAGAGAGACAAGCGAGAGACAAGAGAGAGACTAGAGAGAGAAATGAGGGGGACCAGAGAGAGACCAGAGAGAGACCAAAAAGAGACCAGAGAGAGACGAGAGAGAGACTAGAGAGAGAGACAAGAGAGAGAACAGAGAGAGACCAGAGAGAGAGACTAGAGAGAGACCAGAGAGACCAGAGAGAGAGACCAGAGAGAGAGACCAGAGAGAGACCAGAGAGAGACCAGAGAGAGACCGGAGAGAGACCAGAGAGAGAGACCAGAGAGAGAGACCAGAGAGAGACCAGAGAGAGACCAGAGAGAGACCAGAGAGAGACCAGAGAAAGAACACAGAGAGACCAGAGAGAGACCAGAGAGACCAGATAGAGACCCGAGAGAGACTAGAGAGAGACAAGAGAGACAACAGAGAGAGACCAGGGAGAGACCAGAAAGAAGGACCAGAGAGAGACCAGAGGCAGAGACCAGAGAGAGCAGAGAGTATAACCTTTGTCCGCACATACAGGAGCTGTCAGTAGCGGTGCTCCAGTGTAAAACACAGACGCTGGAGCAGACGGCTGTGGCGCGATAAGCACCGCGGCTTCTATTGTCGCCAAGATAATTAGCTCCAGGAAACTGGGCTGGAGTCCATATCTGCAGCTCCAGAGAGACCCTCTGCCACGGAGCTGAAGGTGAAGTCCCCACTCTGACAGTGATACAGCAACACACACACGCATACACAAACATACACACAGACATACACACACGCACAGACACACACACACACACGCACAGACACACACACACACACACGCGCAGACACACACACACACACACGCACAGACACACACACACACACGCACAGACACACACACACACACACACACGCACAGACACACACACACACACACACACACACACACACACACACACACACACACACACACACACACACACACACACACACACACACACACACACACACACGCACATACACACACACACACACACACACGCACAGACACACACACACACACACACACACACACACTGGTGATGACATTACCCCAGAGTCTCTAATGTTTTGAAACAGCAAAAAGTTGGTAATTAAAAAAAAGTGAGATTATTATTGTCTACAAAGTCTTGTCTCTCTGTGGTTATTGTGACATACTTTGTGGACTGTTAAGATGCAGTTGTTTAAACAACCCTAAACCAACATTTTAAAAGGAAGTAAGTATTGTCCAAGTACAGACTGCCCTTCAATATAAGCGGCTCAGCAGTGGCTCATTCACCGTTAGCTTCCATGACTCTTTTACCGTTAGCTTCACTGTTAGCTTAACTGTTAGCTTCACTGTTAGCTTCCATGACTCTTTTACCGTTAGTTTCCATGACTCTTTCACATGGATCTATAATAATAACTGGATAGCGTATTACTAGCTTATAGCTGTCCCACCCATGGCCACAGGGGGCGCTGTGGTACTGCAGACTAAAGTCACGTGGGCTACACGTGAATTTCCCATAGAACTCAATGTAAACTAAAACAGCTCAACCTCCGCTTACAGAGAACCTGACAGAGAACCTGACAGAGCACCTGACAGAGAACCTTCAGCTTGCAGAAAGATCAGATTTTGTGGGAATTTTAGTGTCCCTTGTCGTCCTGAAATTTTTTTCTTCTTAAATCCTTCGGTTTTATTTAAATCCACACTTTACTGCCACAAACTCTGCCTGTCTGGCTCCCGCTCTGATGATCAGTTCTGATTGGTCAGAGCGCGGCGAGCCCTTCTGTGCACGTGCATGAGAGCCACACACGCGTATTTGGCGCAAAGCATCATGGGAGCTCGTCCACTGCACAGAACCGGGAGGACCAGACGATGCCCAAATATGGGCGAGTTCTGCTAATCTCCGGGTCTCCGTGAAGTCCCATGATCCACTGAGCACAAGACATTCGTTTGAATAGGGCGCCATCTTGGATCACCCGGGCTTGCTCTTTCACCGTTAGCTTCACCGTTAGCTTCACCGTTAGCTTCACCGTTAGCTTCACCGTTAGCTTCCATGACACATTAACCAATAGTTTTTTGTAAGTTCATGCTTCTAGTAAACTGAGGCAAAGAAAGAGTGAAAGTACGATTTTCTAAAGTAGTTATGTAACAATTGGCACCATTTGCAGGTGAACGCCACATCTGGTCAGACTGCTGAAGCTAAGCAGGGCAGGGCTTGGTTAGTAGGGTGATGGGAGACCTCTGAGAACACCAGGTGCCAAACTAGAATTAGTTTGGTGTGTGTGTGAATGGTTGATGGTGGTGGGAGGGGCTGATGGCACAGACCGGTTGCCTCACTTCTGTCAGTGTGCCCCAGGGCAGCTGTGGCTACAGTAGTAGTTTATCACCAGTGTGTATGGAGTGAACAGATAACACCATGTGGAGGGTCTTTGAGCGTCCAAGAAAGCTCTGTTCAAGTCCGATGCATTATTAATATTATTCTTCTGTGTCTGTCACGAGTCTCTGTGGGATCTGAGGAAACCAATCATTGAAGCTTTAAAAGTGGAAATCTAATGTATGTGATGAAAACATGAGGCCTGGAGCCCGCCTGGAGCACGCCTGGAGCCCGCCTGGAGTACGCCTGGAGCCCGCCTGGAGCACGCCTGGAGCCCGCCTGGAGCACGCCTGGAGCACGCCTGGAGCCCGCCTGGAGCTCGCCTGGAGCACTCCTGGAGCCCGCCTGGAGTACGCCTGGAGCCCGCCTGGAGCCCGCCTGGAGCCCGCCTGGGGACTACCTGGAGCACGCCTGGAGCCCGCCTGGAGTACGCCTGGAGCCCGCCTGGAGTACGCCTGGAGCCCGCCTGGAGCCCGCCTGGAGCCCGCCTGGAGCCCGCCTGGAGCCCGCCTGGAGCCCGCCTGGAGCCCGCCTGGAGCCCGCCTGGGGACTACCTGGAGCACGCCTGGAGCCCGCCTGGAGTACGCCTGGAGCCCGCCTGGAGTACGCCTGGAGCCCGCCTGGAGCCCGCCTGGAGCCCGCCTGGAGCCCGCCTGGAGCCCGCCTGGAGCCCGCCTGGAGCCCGCCTGGAGCCCGCCTGGAGCCCGCCTGGGGACCACCTGAAGCCCGTCTGGAGCCCGTCTGGAGCCCGCCTGCCCCCCCTCCCCCCCTCCCTGAAACACGACTGCATTTCCATCCTGAGCTCTGAGGCAGTACCTTTCTTTGTCTTTTTCTCGCTTCTGAAACGGCTCAAAAGATTGGAACACTCACTCGTCACAATCCAATTACCGCGGCACGTCGGCGGCAGATCTCAATCGCTGCGATCGTCGGGTTTTTGGGGTTAACACCTTATTATTTTTGGACTACACTCCAAGCCAACCTGATCCTGGCGCACGCTGAGCCGCCGCAGATGGAGGCGATGATAAAAATGCAATATTAAAGCCTGACAAATGGGGAAATGTCAACAATGCGCACAGGAATTAAATCTGCCTCACAGTTCATGAATACACGATTGCCCTTTGTGCCGCAGGATTGGCTTTTTGAGTGGATTCGTACGTTTGCCGAAGCGTGGAAATCAATCTGGTAATAGACACACAAACAGTGTCGGGATTTCAAACCTACATTATTGTCTCCACGTAAAAAGATCCGTCTGCAGATTGGGTTTTTACAAATATGCACCGGTAATGTGTACGGAAGTGGTTTCTCCTGGGTCTACAGTCTCAGTCCTGGGTCTACAGCTTCAGTCCTGGGTCTACAGCCTCAGTCCTGGGTCTACAGCTTCAGTCCTGGGTCTACAGCCTCAGTCCTGGATCTACAGCCTCGGTCCCGGGTCTACAGCCTCAGTCCTGGATCTACAGCCTCAGTCCTGGGTCTACAGCCTCGGTCGTGGGTCTACAGCCTCGGTCCTGGGTCTACAGCCTCGGTGGGTCTATATAATACTAGGTACAGGACTGCTCCACACACAGACACCTGATGCATCATGGCCTCCCTCGCGCCCAAGTGAGCCAGGGAACTTTTTAAGGCAAGGGTGAGAATTTGGGAGTCCCACCTCCTCCAGAGTCACTTTTGCATCTCACTCTTTCTAACAACACTTTCTCCATGGTTCCTGCAGATCTCTCTCTCTCTGTTAAAAACTAGTTCTACTGCAGTTATCTGGACAGAAGCACACAACAAACAAGGTATAATCTTATAGTGGTGAGGAATGACTGGGAGCCACGCTACTGTTCTCCCCCAGTCACTTCTGAACTCACTGCTACTACGAAGAGAGTTTGAATGAAAGATAAACACACCTCCAACACATGTGGAAAAGCCCCAAGAGTAAAACATTAACCACTTGTTGGACCTGGTCTTTCAACGTAGTTTCACAACACCCCATTGTGGACCATGTGGATCATTATTAGCTTGGTTTCAACACCTCACTCCGTCATCCCAAAGTTGTTCTAAACTGAATATACTTACATTCACTTTAATGATAACCCAACAACAATTCCACTATCAGTCTCTTTGTGCGCTATATAAATAAATGTGCTGGAGAGTCTCAGAGTGCTGCCCCCTGCTGGCCGCTGCTGTGCCCTCTCCACAGGACCAGCCTCTGAAAACAAAAGAATCAGTCTGTTCTTATGTGTGGTCGTTTGTTAGCGATGGAGGAGAAGAAAAATACATATTTCATGTTGTTATTGAAGCAGAAACTTACCCCAGACTTGTAGAAAGTTGTGTTTCTCTGATGTTTCTTCTGAGGGTTTTCGGACCGAAGTTAAAACTAAACTTTACTGCAGTTCTACATGAAACATCTGCTGCGGTCCCAGAATATTATCAAATATTTAACATGGTTTAAATCTCAATATTGATCCAAAATACGTGATCAAAGTCTCTGCTCTATCAGCCTCTTTGTGTGGAGTCAGGGCTGTAGACCCAGGACTGAGGCTGTAGACCCAGGACTGAGGCTGTAGACCCAGGACTGAGGCTGTAGATCCAGGACTGAGGCTGTAGACCCAGGACTGAGGCTGTAGACCCAGGACTGAGGCTGTAGATCCAGGACTGAGGCTGTAGATCCAGGACTGAGGCTGTAGACCCAGGACTGAGGCTGTAGATCCAGGACTGAGGCTGTAGACCCAGGACTGAGGCTGTAGACCCAGGACTGAGGCTGTAGACCCAGGACTGAGGCTGTAGACCCAGGACTGAGGCTGTAGACCCAGGACTGAGGCTGTAGACCCAGGACTGAGGCTGTAGACCCAGGACTGAGGCTGTAGACCCAGGACTGAGGCTGTAGATCCAGGACTGAGGCTGTAGATCCAGGACTGAGGCTGTAGATCCAGGACTGAGGCTGTAGACCCAGGACTGAGGCTGTAGACCCAGGACTGACGCAGGTGCAGTATCTGGACCCTGGAGCACCTCCTTCACTAGTGGGTAATCAGGAAGTCATCTGCAGATTGAGGACAGGACTCTCTCTCTCCCTCCCTCTCTCTCTCCCTCTCTCTCTCCCTCCCTCCCCCTCTCTCTTTCTCTTTCCTCTCCTTGTCTTCTCAGCTCTGCTCCTACAGACACAGTTTTATTTCACTTATGGTGTCTCTCTCTTTCTTAGGAGCTCTCTCGTCTCTATTCTGGTCTTCTGGTCCCATTATGTGGTCCTTTAGCTGCAGTTTCCCGCAGCTAGGACAGGGACATCAGCTCTCTCAGTCTCTCTCTGGTTTATTTCTGGTCTCTCTCTGGTCTCTTTCTGGTCTCTCTGTGGTATCTCTCGCCCTGGTCTCTCTTTCTCTGGTCTCCCTCTGGTCTCTCCCTAGTTTCTCTGGTCTCTCTCTGGTCTCTCTCTCTCTGGTCTCTCTCTCTGGTCTCTCTCCGGTCTCTCTCTGGTCTCCTCATGGTCTCTCTCTGGTCTCTCTCTGGTCTCTCTCTGGTCTCTCTCTGGTCTCCTCATGGTCTCTCTCTGGTCTCTCTTTGCTCCCTCTGATCTCTCTCTCTCATCTCTCTCTCTGTCTCTCCCTGCTCTCTCTTTCTCTCTCTTCTCTCTCTCTCTCTGGTCTCTCCCTCTGTCCTCCCCTCCTCAGTATAGACTCTCTCTCTCTCTCTCTCGCCCTGCTCTCTCTCTCTCTCTCTTCTCTCTCTCTCTCTCTCTCTCTCTGGTCTCTCCCTCTGTCCTCCCCTCCTCAGTATGGACTCTCTCTCTCTCTCTCTCTCTCGCCCTGCTCTCTCTCTCTCTCTCTCTCTCTTTCTCTCTCTTCTCTCTCTCTCTCTGGTCTCTCCCTCTGTCCTCCCCTCCTCAGTATGGACTCTCTCTCGCCCTCGGCACCAGTCTCTCTCGTTCCTGGAGCCTCGAGCTGAATCCTCCAGCCCTGGCTCCCTCCGCCTCACGTGGAGCAGTGCGTCTCTCGCTGTAGACTGTCGCTGATTAGCACAATTCCGTTTTTATTGACTCTTCATTTCCCCGGAGGTCGTGGAGCTCTGGCAGCGGCGGCGGCGAAACCACAGCCAAGAGTGAGCGTCACTGCCAGAGCGCCTTCCGTCGACTCAAGTAGACACAGGGAGCTCTTAGTGCGATTTTCTGTCAGCGTGAAACGTGAGCCGTGATCTCTGCCATCTCTGCGTCTGCGAGATCAGGATCAGAGGAAAACACAATATTTCACATCTGACCTCACTGTAAAAGCACGACTGCAGAGGTTAAGTCTCTGGTCTCTCTCTGGTCTCGCTCTGGTCTCTCTCTGGTCTCTCTCTGGTCTCTCTTTGGTCTCTCTCTGGTCTCTCTCTGGTCTCTCTCTCTGGTCTCTCTCTGGTCTCACTCCGGTCTCTCTTTGGTCTCTCTCTGGTCTCTCTCTGGTCTCTCTCTCTGGTCTCACTCTGGTCTCTCTCTCTGGTCTCTCTCTCTGGTCTCGCTCTGGTCTCTCTCTGGTCTCTCTCTGGTCTCTCTCTGGTCTCTCCCTGGTCTCTCTCTAGTCTCTCTCTAGTCTCTCTGTGGTCTCTCTTTAGTCTCTCTGTGGTCTCTCTCTGTTCTCTCTCTGGTCTCTCTCTGGTCTCTCTCTGGTCTCTCTCTAGTCTCTCTCTAGTCTCCTCTGGTCTCTTTCTAGTCTCTCTGGTCTCTCTCTAGTCTCTCTCTAGTCTCTCTCTGGTCTCTCTATGGTCAGTCTTTGGTCTCTCTATTCTCTCTCTGGTCTCTCTCTGGTCTCTCTCTGGTCTCTCGCTAATCCCTCTCCGGCCTCTCTCTGGTCTCTCTCTGGTCTATCTCTGATCCCTCTCCGGCCTCTCTCTGGTCTCTCTCTGGTCTATCTCTGATCCCTCTCCGGCCTCTCTCTGGTCTCTCTCTGGTCTCTCTCTGATCCCTCTCTGGTCTCTCTCTGATCCCTCTCTGGTCAGTCTCTCTCTGGTCTCTCTTTGCATATGTATCTAGGTATCTATCTCTTGGGCTTAAACAGTGAGAATATGAACTTTATACATTGGTTATCCCCCCCCCCTCTCTTTCTCTTTCTGTCTCTATCTCTATCAATCCCTCTATCTCTCTCTCTCTCTATCTGTCTGTCTCTCTCTCTCTCTCTCTCTCCACAGTCTGTATAATAAGAAATGCAAAAAGCCCACAAACCCAATCAGGCTGAGGTCCTTCTGCTAAAGGTGGAGGAGGAACGTGAGAGAAGCTGAGTCCATTTGAAGAGTCCAAGGATCAAACACAAACACAGATGAAAGAGACTGAACAGAAGAGTCCACCTCAAACCGCTGGGGTCGGGTTATTCTTAGTCCAACCAAACCAGACCATGAACTCTGGGTCTCTCTCGCTGCTCGCCAAAAAACAAGAGCTACAGCGTTTTTACATCCCTCGCTCTGCGGACGCTGCCGGAATCTTCCACCTCACATGGTTTTCATGGAAATACAGAGTGGGCCTGAGATCTCAGTCTCTCTCTGGTCTCTCTCTGGTCTCTCTTTAGTCTCTCTCTGGTTTCTCTGGTCTCTCTGGTCTCTCTCTGGTCTCTCCCTGGTCTCTCTCTGGTCTCTCTTTAGTCTCTCTCTGGTTTCTCTGGTCTTTCTCTGGTTTTTAGTTTAGTTTATTTATTTAAAAGGGACCATGTACAATTATAACATAAATGTTGCCATTTGATGCATTGTACCAGAGTTAGCCTGAGGCTAATTTACATCTCTGGTCTCTCTCTGGTCTCTCTCTGGTCTCTCTGGTCTCTCCCTGGTCTCTCTCTGGTCTCTCTCTGGTCTCTCCCTGGTCTCTCTCTGGTCTCTCTCTGGTCTCTCCCTGGTCTCTCTCTAGTCTTTCTCTGTTCTCCCTTTTGTTTCTCTGGTCTCTCTATGGTCTCTCTTTGGTCTCTCTCTATTCTCTCTCTGGTCTCTCTCTGGTCTCTCTCTGGTCTCTCTCTGGTCTCTCTCTGGTCTCTCTCTGGTCTCTCTCTGGTCTCTCTCTGGTCTCTCTCTGGTCTCTCTGGTCTCTCCCTGGTCTCTCTCTGGTCTCTCTCTGGTCTCTCCCTGGTCTCTCTCTGGTCTCTCTCTGGTCTCTCCCTGGTCTCTCTCTAGTCTTTCTCTGTTCTCCCTTTTGTTTCTCTGGTCTCTCTATGGTCTCTCTTTGGTCTCTCTCTATTCTCTCTCTGGTCTCTCTCTGGTCTCTCTCTAGTCTCTCTCTGGTCTCTCTCTGGTCTCTCTATAGTCTCTCTCTGGTCTCTCTCTGGTCTTTCTCAGGTCTCTCTCTGGTCTCTCTCTAGTCTCTCTCTGGTCTCTCCCTGGTCTCTCTCTAGTCTCTCTCTGGTCTCTTCCTGGTCTCTCTCTAGTCTCTCTCTGGTCTCTCTCTGGTCTCTCTCTGGTCTCTCTCTCTGGTCTCTCTCTGGTCTCTCTCTCTGGTCTCACTCTGGTCTTTCTCTTGTCTCTGTCCAGTCTCTCTTTTTGTCTCTCTGCTCTCTTTGTTCTTTCTCTCTTCTCTCTCTGTGGTCTCTCTCTCTCTCTCTCCCTACTCTCTCTCTCTTCTCTCTCTGTGGTCTCTCTCTTTCTCCCTACTCTCTCTCTCTTCTCTCTCTGTGGTCTCTCTCTCTCTCTCTCCCTACTCTCTCTCTCTTCTCTCTCTGTGGTCTCTCTCTTTCTCCCTACTCTCTCTCTCTTCTCTCTCTGTGGTCTCTCTCTTTCTCCCTACTCTCTCTCTCTTCTCTCTCTGTGGTCTCTCTCTCTCTCTCTCCCTACTCTCTCTCTCTTCTCTCTCTGTGGTCTCTCTCTTTCTCCCTACTCTCTCTCTCTTCTCTCTCTGTGGTCTCTCTCTCTCTCTCTCCCTACTCTCTCTCTCTTCTCTCTCTGTGGTCTCTCTCTTTCTCCCTACTCTCTCTCTCTTCTCTCTCTGTGGTCTCTCTCTCTCTCCCCGTTCTCTCTCTCTCTCTCAGTGTCTTCCACCTCACCGCCCAACATATTTCATGCTACATATACCATCAACCTCAGATCTCGCGCATCTCGCCCCCATTGTTTTCACCTCGTTAAAAATTCAACAATGCCTGACTTTACCGAGCTCAAGCGAGCGTGAAAGTGCACGGAGAGTCGGCAGGAAGTAGAAAACTCCAGACACGCATCGAGAAACCTCCTCCGAGAACGGCCGAGCTGAGCGCAGACGGAACCAGCAGAAGTTTGGGTGCACTGCGAGAAAAAGGAAAATGATTTAGAGAAAGGACACGGCGAGAAAGTGGAGATTGGTTTGGAGTCGCTGGAAAATTCCTTGACGTCTCTGTTTATTGATCCAAAAAGCTTATTTCACAATCGGATACACCGGAGTCCGTCTGACGCTGGGGACAGGATCTTTGCGGAGGTTGGATCTGCGCCGAGACCGTGATTGATGAGACTCATGGTTTATGTTTTACCACAGTTTGAACGAGTCCTGGTCTCGTCCAACGAAGGACATGGTTTTTAAGCCTTTCATTTAACAAACAAACAAACAATATCTCTCTGGTCTCTTTCTAGTCTCTCTCTGGTCTCTCTGGACTGTCCCTGGTCTCTCTCTCTGGTCACTCTCTTGTCTCTCTCTCTGGTCTCTCTCTCTGATCTCTCTCTGGACTGTCCCTGGTCTCTCTCTGGTCTCTCTCTGGTATCTCTCTCTCTGGTCTCTCTCTCTGGTCTCTCTCTGGTCTCTCTCTCTGGTATCTCTCTGGTCTCTCTGGACTGTCCCTGGTCTCTCTCTCTGATCTCTCTCTGGTCTCTCTCTCTCTGGTCTCTCTCTGGTCTCTCTCTCTCTGGTCTCTCTCTGGTCTCTCTCTCTGGTCTCTCTCTCTGGTCTCTCTCTCTCTGGTGTCTCTGGTCTCTCTCTCTAGTTTCTCTGGTCTCTCTCTCTAGTTTCTCTGGTCTCTCTCTGGTCTCTCTCTCTGGTCTCTCTCTGGTCTCTCTCTCTGGTCTCTCTCTAGTCTATCTGGTCTGTAGGTTTCTCTATTTTTCTCTGGTCTCTTTCCGTTCTCTCTCTAAGCTAACTCTGTTTCCTATCTCTGATTTCTTTCAAGAGAAGAGCAGAGTAGAGCAGAGTAGAGCAGAGCAGAGCAGAGTAGAGCAGAGCAGAGCAGAGTAGAGTAGAGTAGAGTAGAGTAGAGTAGAGTAGAGTAGAGTAGAGCAGAGTAGAGTAGAGCAGAGTAGAGTAGAGCAGAGCAGAGTAGAGTAGAGTAGAGCAGAGTAGAGTAGAGTAGAGTAGAGTAGAGTAGAGCAGAGTAGAGTAGAGCAGAGTAGAGTAGAGTAGAGTAGAGTAGAGCAGAGTAGAGTAGAGCAGAGTAGAGTAGAGTAGAGTAGAGCAGAGTAGAGTAGAGCAGAGCAGAGTAGAGTAGAGTAGAGCAGAGCAGAGTAGAGTAGAGCAGAGTAGAGTAGAGTAGAGCAGAGTAGAGCAGAGTAGAGCAGAGTAGAGTAGAGTAGAGCAGAGTAGAGTAGAGTAGAGCAGAGTAGAGTAGAGTAGAGCAGAGTAGAGTAGAGCAGAGCAGAGTAGAGTAGAGTAGAGCAGAGTAGAGTAGAGTAGAGCAGAGTAGAGTAGAGTAGAGTAGAGTAGAGTAGAGTAGAGCAGAGTAGAGTAGAGTAGAGTAGAGTAGAGCAGAGTAGAGTAGAGCAGAGTAGAGTAGAGTAGAGCAGAGTAGAGTAGAGTAGAGCAGAGCAGAGTAGAGTAGATGTGGTGGAAACAGGGCTTTAAAGTCTCTCCTGAACAGATTGAGCTCCACATGTTTTTATCTGCAAATTTCCAAATAATTTCTTTTCCGACATCACCCTCCGTGACCTAGTTCCAGACATTCCCCAAAGTTCACCTCTCAGTCAGTCCTCCTCCTTCCTCCCCCTCTCCCCCTCCTCCCCCTCCTCCCCCTCCTCCCCCCTGCACCGATCAATCCGGGGTTCCTTACCTACTCCCGGCTCAATCGATGGACTCTGTTTCTGTGCGAGTCGTGATGGAGAGACTCTCGCTGCAACAACCGCTCTGTCTGTGCCGTACTTTCCAGTAGCCATCGATCTCACCCCTCCTCACCCCTCCCCCTCTCACCCCTCCTCCCCCTCTCACCCCTCCTCCCCCTCTCACCCCCTCCTCCCCCTCTCACCCCTCCTCACCCTCTCACCCCTCCCCCTCTCACCCCTCCTCCCCCTCTCACCCCTCCTCCCCCTCTCCCCCTCTCACCCCTCCTCACCCTCTCACCCCTCCTCACCCTCCTCACCCCTCCTCACCCTCCTCACCCCTCCTCACCCTCCTCACCCCTCCCTTCCCCAAAAGAAGGACTATAATAGATTTTTGTGA